CTTGCCCCGGGTTAGGGGGCGCAAATTACTTGCCTTGCCCTGGGTTAGGGGGCGCAAATTACTTGCCTTGCCCCGGGTTAGGGGGCGCAAATTACTTGCCTTGCCCCGGGTGCTGACAACCCACGCTACACCGCTGCCATTACTTCCCCGCTATTGCTTAATCAATACAGGGTGCCAATACAGAACCCCTGGGCACAACCTGAAGGAAATCCGGTTGTGCCCAGAGACCCTGGCTGGGCTGTTATGGTACTGACCTCTTGGGGGCAGCTCCCTGGTCCTGCCCTTGGTTCCATGCCTCAGTTTCTCTCTCCAAAAACCCCGTTCTGCTCTAACGAGAAGGATGAGCCAAGAAGGATGCATCTGAGGCAGGCCAAACAGCAGGAAAGTCCTTTAATTCTTGTGTTCACACGGTCCGGGTGACCCTGCGGGAAGGAACGAGCTTGGGGTCAGTCTCCTGGCCAGGCAAAACACAGCAAACCCCCTCAGAGCAACTGAGGAGCCAAAGAGGATCTAACTTATTCAGGGGAGGATTATGAAAGTTTCATTCCTCTTCGTAAATATCTTAGCATGTTTAGAGTCACAATGACCTAAGAACAGCCTGGCTGCTGAATCAGGCCAATGGCCCATCTTAATAATAATAATAATAATAATTTTTATTTATACCCCGCCCTCCCCGGCCAGAGCTGGGCTCAGGGTAGCTAACACCAATAAAATTTCAGTAAAAACATAAGAAGAAAAGAAAAAATTATCATGTTCTCACAGCAGCCAGTCAGATGCCTCAATGGAAAACCCACAAGTGGGACACTCAAGTCCCCTAATTTATATGTATTAAACTGTCTCATCTCCCTTCATTAGCACTTAACTGATTTTGTAAACACGTGAGTTAGGTAAAGGTACCCCTGACCGTTAGGTCCAGTTACGGACGACTCTGAGGTTGCAGCGCTCATCTCGCTTTACTGGCCGAGGGAGCCGGCGTACAGCTTCCGGGTCATGTGGCCAGCATGACTGAGCAGCTTCTGGCGAACCAGAGCAGCACACAGAAACGCCGTTTACCTTCCCACCAGAGTGGTACCTATTTATCTACTTGCATTATGACGTGCTTTCGAACAGCTAGGTTGGCAGGAGCAGGGACTGAGCAACGGGAGCTCACCCTGTAGCGGGGATTCAAACAGCCGATCTTCAGATCGGCAAGCCCTAGGCTCTGTGGTTTAGACCACAGCCCCAAACGCAGAGATACAGGGTTAATTCAAAGGGTTGGTGCTGACCTTTAAAGCCCTAAACGGCCTCGGTCCTGTATACCTGCTGTATTGTTTTTAACATTTGATTGGAAGCCTCACAGAGCGGCTGGGGAAACTCAGCCAGATGGGCAGGGTATAAATAATAAATTGTTTGTTGTTGTTAAGGTTATCACATATATCACAGGCACACTGCATTGACAGAAGTCACACGCACACAAAAAGGGTCTATTTACAGTATGAAATTAATGAAATTAACTACAAAAATGTACTAAACTTAAAAATTGTGAACACAACGGCCAAAGTAAAAAACCTAGCGTGATCAGATGACCTGGGATGGCTCTGTTGGTAGAGCACGAGACTATGAATCTCAGGGCTGCAGGTTTGAGCAGCACACTGGACAAAAGAAACCTTCATCACCCCAAACTAGATGACCCTCATGGCCCCTTCAAACTCGACAAATTCTTTGAGTCTATGAAAATATGACAAAGACCTATTCAGACATTCCTTAAATTTTCCCTCAGCTATCAAGGGATCAAATATACCATCCCAGGGATCAAACGCCAGACTATTTAGAAACACAGTTGCAGGGACTTTTGATTCGGAACACAGATATCGCTAGAGACACCCCAAGCCCGGCCAAAGTCTTTGCTCTCTGCTGGACCTGCAACACTACAGGACCCAAGAAGTGCACCTGAGGTTATCAGGAGGCTTCTGTTGCAAACGGTGCTTGGACTTGGGACCCTCACATTTAACTGAGTAAACCAGCTCCCAGAAACCCTTAGCTGGGTCAGTCTGGCTGCAGCCCTCCCGTAATAAGGACAAGAGACCTCAAAGAGGTGAGAAATGGAGGCGTCTGGTCAGGAAGGCCAATGGCTGCTCAGCTCTCCCACAGAGGCAGGTTCTTCTCCTTGCCTTCTCAGGTTCCATCGTTTTGCACCGTTAGACCTGGCAATTCTATGCAACGCTGAATGAAATTGGGGAGTGGGGCCAGGGTGACTTTTTTTTACGATACGATAATCTTTATTGTCATTGTCCCATGCAGAACAACGAAATTGAAAATCTACATCAGACATTCAAAACCAACAAGCCTGCTATCCCAGCCTGGTTAACCCCCTAAAAACTCCCCCATAATTAAATACAATATACTCTCCCAGAGAGTACCTTACACTGCGTTTAAAACCAAAATCACATTTGGATAAAAACTGTTTCTCAGGCAGCTAGTCCTAGTCTTTATAACCCTGTACCTTCTTCCAGAAAGGTCCGTATAGTTCAAGCTCTGGTTTTCCCAGTAGTGATGTCTGGAAGTGAGAGCTGGACCATGAAGAAGGCAGATCGCTGAAGAATTGATGCTTTTGAATTCTGGTGCTGGAGGAGACTCTTGAGAGTCCCATGAACTGCAAGAAGATCCAACCTCTCCATTCTGAAGGAAATCAGCCCTGAGTGCTCACTGGAAGGACAGATCCTGAAGCTGAAGCTCCACGACTTTGGCCACCTCATGAGAAGAGAAGACTCCCTGGAAAAGACCCTGATGTTGGGAAAGATGGAGAGCACTAGGAGAAGGGGATGACAGAGGACGAGATGGTGGGACAGTGTTCTGGAAGCTACCAGCCTGAGTTTGACCCAACTGCGGGAGGCAGTGGAAGACAGGAGTGCCTGGCGTGCTCTGGTCCAGGGGGTCACGAAGAGTCAGACACGACAAAGCGACTAAACAACGACAACCTTCCTCCAGAAGGCAGAAGCTGAAAGAGATCATTTCCGGAGTGCGCACTATCCTGCGCTTTCTTATGGCACCGGGAAGAGTAGATTTGATCCAAGGTGGGAAGAGTACACCCAATTCTTCACTCCACAGTCTTTACAACCCTGGACTTGCGGGGGCTGCAGGCCTTTTCCCCTTAGCCTTTGAGGTGAACAGCGGAAGCTCTTCCCTAGAAATCAACTTCATGCCAGCAGCAACAGCAGCTTCACCTGTTGAATTGCTGACATAATAATAATAATATTTATACCCCGCCCATCTGGCTGGTTTCCCCACATAGGGAGGAGGAGGAGGAACGTCAGGGACACAGCCGTCAACCGTCCCTTATTTGGCGGGAAACCCCCTTATCCCAGCGCCGTTTCCCACTGCTGTCCCTTAAATTTTCCGGGTTTCAAAGGAAGCAGCTCCTCTCCCTCCCTCCCTGCCGGCCAGGGAGGAGGGAGGCTCCAACTGGGTTGCTTGGCTGCGTTGCTCATCCAATAAGGAGTCTAAGAACGACTGTGGGGTGGAGCTTGCATGCCTTGTGCCGATCAAATCGGCCACGTTGCCTGGGAACTCGCCTTTGCTCAGCGCTTCCCAGCGGAGAGGGGACAGTGGTTTCCCTTGCCGCATCCCCTTTGCCGGGTTGCTGCGCTGTGGGAACCACCGCTTGAGGCTTCGTTGGGCTGCTGGCTGGGCTTTCTGCCTTTGGCTCGGAGGGGCTCAGAAGTTGAACCTACCTGTGCCCCTTGGGAAATCCCTTATTTTGGCTGCTGGTCCCTTATTTTCGAGGCTGCTGGTCCCTTATTTTCAAATCTGCAAGTTGACAGCTATGGTCAGGGAGGGGGTTTCCCAGGACAGGAAGATAGCAATGCGCCCCTTGGTCTCTGCACCGCCTGCCTGGGAGCGAGAAAGGGGAGGAGCCTCCTGGCACGTGGCCTCCGCGCGGCAGCGGGAGTTTTTTCCCGCCAAAAATCCGGGAGGGAGGGGGAGAGGGCGGAACGAGCCATGATTGGCTGAGGCGGATGACGGTCGGCAATGCAGGGCGGAAGTGCACCACAGATATAGTAAAAAGGGAAGAGTGACACAAGAGCACTGACGGGAGAGAGAAACTGAAAAGCTCGAGCTGCTAGGATTGCCTAAAAGGGCAACCGCGCTTTGCAGACGAAGCAGGCCGTTCTGCAGACGAAGAACAGAAATTGGAAAAGAGCAGGAGCGCCTCTTTCCCCTTCTGCGCCGCAGCTTATTTCGCCAGGGCGGGGGGAAATGCTGCCGCCCAACCCCTTCGATAAGGAGATTCCGGGTTTCTTCTTTGGCTTCGGAAGGCGCCCGCAGTGGCTCCTGCACCAGGGCAACACATAGACCAGCTTCTAACATGAACCCGGAAGTTCCCTCTACGGAGAGTTAAAGGGTGATTCTGCATTTAACTCTGTGGCCTCAGTCTCTGGGCGGCATCAAGGTCCTCTATTACATGCGCAGCCGCAGTCGGCGTTGTTCCAGCGCACCTCTCTATCCCGTGCCATCTCTATGGCAATGGGAGCGGCTTCCTTCCTTCCGGTCTGTGCCGGAAGTGTACGTCAGGGCTGCGTTTCGGAGCGCTGCTTTAAAAGGCTGGAAAACAATTGTTTTGCTTTTTATAAACCAGAAATATATAAATATATATATATATAATTTCAAACAAACCACAGTAAAAACAGGAAGTACACATGTTATTAACATATTCAAAATAATATATCCCACTTCGCCTCATTAGCATATTTATGACAAGAAAAAACAAATATATTCCTGTTCGCCTTATTAGCATATTCATGAGAGGAAAAACCAATATTATTCAGCGTTGCCTCATTAGCGTGCGCCCACGTGTTACCTCACCCGGTGTGTCATGCGGGGGAGAATACATTAGCATATTGATAAGGCCTATTTGCATACGGGATATGCAGAGGCGGGACAGGCGTGCGTCTGCGAGCTGACGTCGCGGACGCACGCCGGGGAGGTTGGGCGTGACGTGCGCGCTGACGTCACCGCGGCCCGGCGTCTGCGTGCGCCGCGCTCGGCGCGGGGGCCGCTGGGAGCGCGAGGATGGTGGCCGGCGCCTTCCCTATCGCCAAGCTGCTCTACCTGGGCGTCCGGCAGCTCTCCAAGCCCCTGGCCGCGCGCATCAAGGACGGGGCCCGCGCCAGCCCCTTCTTCCGCCAGTACATCTGCGGGCCCCCCGCGCAACGTGAGTCAGGCGGCGGCAGCGCCCCCCGCGATAGGGGGAGTCTCCCGTCAGGGTAGAAAGGGAAGCCAATGGGAGAGAGGGTGGGCGGGCACGCGAGGGGAGTAGGCCAATAGGGAGGCGAGGGGGCGGGCCTCCGAGGAGACGCGGGCCAATCGGGAGGCGGAGAGGCTACGGCGGTGACATTGAGAGGTCCCCTTCCTGGGCAGCACGTGGGAAAGCAGAGGGGGCGGAGGCCCCTGACCCAGTGGCCGGGAAGTTAATTAATTAATTAATTAATTAAATTGATTAATTAATTTTATTTAATAAAATTTGTACAACGCTGGATTGTTTGGAAAAACCACCAAAGCGGTTTACAAAGAGAACAAAACAATGAAAACAAATCAGTGAAAAGTTAAAAACTAAGTTAGAAATCCAAACTTAGACTCATCAGTAGACTGGAAACAGACACTAGAACTCACACCCAACTTTCTAAGCCTCCGGACAGGTTTGGCTGAGCAAAGATGATCGTCAGCCGCCTGGTGTCCAGTGGCAGGGAGTTCCCAAGTGTGAGTGTCTGGAGCCTCAGCCAACCCCAGGCAGAACTGATAAGCCAAAGCTACCTTCTGGAGGGACAGAAGCCATTTTGAGGGGGACAGAGAGTGGAAGGTTGTCCTCTTCTTGGTGGGTTTTTTGCCCACTTAGGGGCGTCCTTAGATCTGTCACCATCGTCGGAGGCACAGGGATCCTCAGTGGCTCTCAAGAGAGCTTCCTTCCACCTTTGGCTGTTCCTGGGCAGGGATGGCTTGGCCATGGTGGTGCAGGCCTTGGCAACGTCTTGGCTGGACTACTGCAATGTATTCTCCATGGGGCTACCCTTGAAGGCGGTGAAGGTCCTGTGTGAGTGCCTGGAGGCGGTTGGAGGATGGATGGCAGCTAACAGATTGAGGCTAAATCCTGACAAGACAGAAGTACTGTTTTGGGGGGACAGGGGGTGGGCTGGTGTGGAGGACTCCCTGGTCCTGAATGGGATAACTGTACCCCTGAAGGACCAGGTGCGCAGCCTGGGAGTCATTTTGGACTCACAGCTGTCCATGGAGGCGCAGGTCAGTTCTGTGTCCAGGGCAGCTGTCTACCAGCTCCATCTGGTACGCAGGATGAAACCCTACCTGCCCACAGACTGTCTCGCCAGAGTGGTGCATGCTCTGGTTATCTCCCGCTTGGACTACTGCAATGCGCTCTACATGGGGCTCCCTTTGAAGGTGACCCGGAAACTGCAATTAATCCAGAATGCGGCAGCTAGACTGGTGACTGGGGGCGGCCGCCGAGACCACATAACACCGGTCCTGAAAGACCTTCATTGGCTCCCAGGACGTTTCCGAGCACAGTTCAAAGTGTTGGTGCTGATATTTCAAGCCCTAAATGGCCTCAGAGGCCCAGTATACCTGAAGGAGCATCTCCACCTCCATCGTTCTGCCCGGACACTGAGCTCCAGCTCTGCTGAAAAAATTTGCTGACCCCTGGCTTCATGGGCATCTGTTCCATTAAATGATGTTTCTCGGGATGTGTCCTGCCCACGCTTCCTGCCCCAGAGGACAGAAATAGGATCATAGAATTGTAGACTTGGAAGGGACCCTAAGTGTCATTTGCCACAGCAATGCAGGAATCATCAAACTCACATTTAATCACTTTATCCGCAAGAAAATCCTCAATAACTGTTCTCTGTAAATAGTAAAATTCCATTCTTAACTGCCCTGATCAGATATTTACCTTGAAACTAGTGCGACTGGTTCAGGAGACTCTCTCTCAGATGGATTCTAACTTAATATGCACAAGATGGCAGGTTTGGAAGCAACCGCACAAGCATTGTTATAGTCTTGAATCATGCCGCGTTTTCTCTGAAATAAAAAAGTCTCAAACACTGCAGCATTTCCTCACAGGGGAGTCCTGAGAGATATGCATTGGCTCCCAGTACATTTCTGAGTACAATTCAAAGTGTTGGTGCTGACCTTTAAAGCGCTAAAAGGCCTCGGCCCTATATACCTGAAGGAGCATCTCCACCCCCATCGTTCTGCCCGGACACTGAGGTCCAGCTCCGAGGGCCTTCTGGCGGTTCCCTCGCTGCGAGAAATGAGGTTACAGGGAACCAGGCAGAGGGCCTTTTCGGTGGTGGCGCCCACCCTGTGGAACACCCTCCATTCAGATGTGAAGGAAATAAGCAGCTATCTTATCTTTAAAAGACATCTGAAGGCAGCCCTGATTAGGGAAGTTTAAATGTTTAATGCTGTATTGTTTTTAACACTTGATTGGGAGCCGCTCAGAGTCGCCGGGGCAACTCAGCCAGATGGACAGAGTATAAATAATTTATTATTATTATCCTTGATTGTTTCGGCTGCCCTTTTCTGAACCTTTCCGAACTCCACAATGTCTGCCATGGTGAAAATTGGGGTGTTATTTTTATTCATAACATCTGCATACTGCCCTTCCATCAACAGATCTCAGGGCAATTCACAACATCAAAATTACAATTAAAAACCCCCACAAAATATACCCTCCAGGCCTCTCTTGGAAGAAACACACACAAAAAGGCCTTAGAGTCAGGGTCCAGGTAGAAAATATGGGAGAAACACACTTTGAAAATGTTGTCTAGAAGGATAAAAGAAAATTATTATAAATTAATTTGGAGATGGTATTTAACGCCAGTCAGATTAAATCAAATAAACAAGGAATATTCGGTGCTATGTTGGAGGGGATGCCAGGAAACAGGGACCTATGTTCACATGTCGTGGGGATGTAAATATGTACAATTTTTTTGGCAAAGGGTGTTTAAGGAAATAACAGAAATCACTGCGTTAAAGCTGACCAAAGAATTACTGTCAATGTACGATGGGTTGGAAGGTTCACGGGCTATGAAGGACTTGCTCACTAATTTATTGAAAACTGCACAAATTATTATAGCTAGGAAGTGGAAGGAACAAGGTGAATATAAAATGGAAGAATGGTACAAAGAGGTGTGGGATATAGCTGTTAATGATAAAATAACATGTGCCATTCAGGTAAGATGGGGAATATGCAGGAGAAATGATTTTGAGGAGATATAGAGGGTGTTTGTAGAATTTATATTGTTAAAACGGAAAGGGGTTAAACCATTGCAAGAGGTGTTGCAATTTTGGGAGGTTGGATAGTGACAATGGAATGGTGTCAGGAAGTGGGGTGCACATTTTTATTCTTATTTATTTACAGATATTACGCGGGTGGCGCTGTGGGTTAAACCACAGAGCCCAGGGCTTGCCGATCGGAAGGTCGGTGTTTCGAATCCCCGCGACGGGGTGAGCTCCCATTGCTCAGTCCCCACTCCTGCCACCTAGCAGTTTGAAAGCGTGTCAAAGTGCAAGTAGATAAATAGGTACCACTCCGGCGGGAAGGTAAACGGCGTTTCCGTGCGCTGCACTGGTTCACCAGAAGCGGCTTAGTCATGCTGGCCACATGACCCGGAAGCTGTACGCCGGCTCCCTTGGCCTATAAAGCGAGATGAGTGCGCAACCTCAGAGTTGTCAACGACTGGACCTAACGGTCAGGGGTCCCTTTACCTTTTACTTTGTCAAAGAAAAAATTAAAAAATAAGTGATACCTGGAAGGCTTCAGGCCTTGCACCCTGGACATTCCTCACTCTTCCTTTTCCTCTTGCAGTGTACCACTGGGTGGAGATGCGAGCCAAGATGCGCATCATGGGCTTCCGTGGCGCCGCCATCAAACCGCTGAACGAGGAGGCGGCTGCCGAACTGGGGGCGGAACTGCTGGGCGAAGCCATCGTCTTTGGGGTGGGGGGCCTCTGCATCTTCCTGGAGTACTCCCGCCAAACCACCAACAGCAAGAAGAAGGAGGACGAGCTAAGCAGCACCCTCGAGAGCCTGCAGGAGCAGGTGGCCGAGCTGAACTTGACGGTGGAGACCCTGGACGCCCGGCTGCGGGAGCTCAACCGGGTCCTCGTCGAGGTCTCTGCCTCCCCCAAGAAATAACGGGGATGGCGGGCAGAGAGAGAGAGAGACAGGCGGCTTCCTAAAACTGCGCCCGACTGCCGGCTGCGCCGCGAGGTTCCCCCTTGCTGGACGGCGAAGGGCGCCGCGGGGATCCTGGCCTACGCAGGATTCGGGGTGCGAAAGTCCCGCGTCCCAACCTACCCTGTGGTGCTGAGTTTCTCGGCCTTTTGCAAGTGTGTAAATACTGAATCCATTAAAAAAAAAAAAACAAATTGCAGAGAAAAAAGCTCTCAGCCTCGCTGATCGTGGGGAGAAGCTGCAAGGGCAGTGGGTGGGTGTGGGGACTCCTGCGTGGCAGGGGGTTGGAATAGATGACCGCTGGAGGTCCCCCTGCAATGACAGTTGGCCGTCGGTCAGGGGTTCTTTAGCCCTGGTTGACTCTGTGTTATACTGGGTGGTGTGTGAATGAATGGATTTTATTATTACGGTCACAGACCAGTTCCGGGTCACTTACAATATCAGGAAAATCATAAAACACAACAGGGATACAGTGGTACCTCGAGTTACATACGCTTCAGGTTACAGACTCCGCTAAGCCAGAAATATTACCTCGGGTTAAGAACTTTGCTTCAGGATGAGAACAGAAATCGTGCTCCAGCCGCGTGGCGGCAGCGGGAGGCCCCATTAGCTAAAGTGGTGCTTCAGGTTAAGAACAGTTTGAGGTTAAGAACGGACCTCCGGAACGAATTAAGTACTTAACCTGAGGTACCACTGTACATTGAATTGCAATTGGGTACAACAGAGACAATTCAGATATAGCGGCAGTTAAAAATATATATATATTAAATCTTGATCACTAAAATATAACCTAAAATTATCGTTTAAAACTTTAATCATTTTGGTAGTACAGCTTGTTCCCTAAATTTTATGGCAGTATAAACACAACTGGGTGGTGTGTTCATGGTGGTAACTCCGAACTGTGGTGGCCGAAGCTTCCTGTTTTCTCGCATTTGTTCTATTTTTTTTTTAATGATATTTATTAAAATTTCACAAGAAAAAGGATCACATTAATAAAAAAATTAACAATAAAAAGAAAAATACACAATACAAAATACAAAAAGGAAAAAGAAAAAACAGTTAAAAAACAATTCCGTCTTTTCATCACTTCTTTTATGTTTACTTGTTTCCCGGACCTCCTCATACCTCCCTCTTTTGTATTCCAATTCAGTTTGTTAGTCCAGCAATTCCTTTCCCTCCTTTTTAATCCTGATCTTTAATCTTAATATATTATAACATTAAATTTTTACCTATTAAAAACCAATTTTTCCAATTCTTTTAACCATTACTGCTAGAAACCGCTTAACTTCAATCCTGTTCTATAACATTTAAACATTTCCCAGATTCTGGAAGTGGGGAGAGAGAACCGATGCCCTGAGGCCATGGATTTAAAAACACTGCCGGGGCACTTTCTGCTTTTCCGCACTGAGATGGTGCAGCGATCTTCTTTTCCGCCACTTACAGAGCTGGGGTTTTGGGGAGGTGGTCTGGGAGCTGCTTTCAGGTTCCTCCGAGCTTCAGTCCCCAAGTGCAGTGGTTGGGGGAATTCCACTCCTGCTAGTATTGGATCACTGCATTAACATGTAGGGATCAGGCAGAGCAAATCCACCCACGGTCTTTGAGGGAGGACGGGGTGTTTGGGGAGAGGGTGGCACTGTTCTGGCCCCCAACTGAAGCCCTCTCAACATGCCCTAAAACAGCTTTTCTCCAGCCTGGCGTTCTCTGCTTCCTTTTGGGTTAGGACGCCCAGGAACCTCAGCCGGACCCTCTCAAGAAGGGGTGAGAACTTTCAGCACCCCATCCCAAAGGAGCCCAGCACAGTGATCAAAGTACTGTGGATTCTCGGGTTGCGAACATTATCCGTGTGGGATGCACGTTCGCAACCCGCATCTGCGCATGTGTGGGTTGCAATTTGGGACTTCTGCGCATGCGCAAAGCATGATTTAGCGCTTCTGCGCATCCGCCAAAACCCGGAAGTACACTGGTACCTCAGGTTACATACGCTTCAGGTTACATACGCTTCAGGTTACAGACCCCGCTAACCCAGAAATAGTGCTTCAGGTTAAGAACTTTGCTTCAGGATGAGAACATAAATCGTGCTCCGGCGGCGCGACAGCAGCAGGAGGCCCCCTTGGCTAAAGTGGTGCTTCATGTTAAGAACAGTTTCAGGTTAAGAACGGACCTCCAGAATGAATTAAGTACTTAACCAGAGGTACCACTGTAACCCATTCCGGTACTTCCGGGTTTCGGCAGTCTGCAACCCGAAAAGACACAACCTGAAGCGGCTGTAACCCGAGGTATGACTGTACTGATATGTGGTGCGTCATGGGAAAGCCTCCGTATTTGATGATAACCAGCAGCAAAACCAAAACACTGCTGTCCCTTTAAGACAAAAACACTTTGTGCATCATCGAAATGCCTTCTGCCGAGCCACTTAAATAATTAATTTCCTTAAAAGCACTTTCATCGACTGCCTTTGCTTAGATGGGAGGCAAAAGCGAATCCACAGAGTAACAGGGCAGAGGATTACCGGCAATGAAATAAGGGGGCTGGGAGAGGAGAACCGAAACCAATTCGAGGTGACCTTGTCCTTCCTTGCTTGGCCTTCCCAAAACTGCCCCTTGAATTCCTATTTTTAGATGAGGCTCGCCTGTTCCAATAAAGAAAGCCCTTCTTCACGCAGATCCTGCAAGCGGCAGCGAAGGCCGCTAACCTAGATGCCTTTAAAAGAGAATTGGAAAAATTCATGGGCTATCGATGGCTATTAGCCATTTGCTTCTGAATGCCAGTTCCTGGAAACCGCAGGATGGGAGAATCGCTCTTGTGCTCATATGCCACTTGCTGGCTTATCTTTGTTGCATCTTCTTGTTGACTGTGAGGATGCTGGACTAGATGAGCCATTGGCCTGATCCAGTAAGCTCTCATTTTATTATGGCCACTGAGAACAGGATGCTAGACTTTGTTGTTTAGTCATTTAGTCATGTCCGCCTCTTCGTGACCCCCTGGACCAGAGCACGCCAGGCACTCCTGTCTTCCACTGCCTCCCGCAGTTGGGTCAAACGATCAGCCTTCTTTATGGTCCAGCTCTCACTTCCATATTAGTAACTTTGCATTAATGCAACATTTTTATATGTAACTGTGTTTTTCTAATGTTTTGTTGAAGTTCTCTCTGTTGCTGCATCCGTTTTCTGCCCAGTTTTGTGTTTAATCTGGAAGTAGTAGTAGTAGTAGTAGTAATAATAATAATTGTTGTTGTTTAGTCGTTTAGTCGTGTCCGATTCTTCGTGACCCCCTGGACCAGAGCACGCCAGGCCCTCCTGTCTTCCACTGCCTCCCGCAGTTTGGTCAAACTCATGCTGGTAGCTTCGAGAACACTGTCCCACCATCTCATCCTCTGTCACCCCCTTCTCCTTGTGCCCTTCATCTTTCCCAACATCAGGGTCTTTTCCAGGGAGTCTTCTCTTTTCACGAGGTGGCCAAAGTCTTGGAGCCTCAGCTTCAGGATCTGTCCTTCCAGTGAGCACTCAGGGCTGATTTCCTTCAGAATGGAGAGGTTGGATCTTCTTGCAGTCCATAGGACTCTCAAGAGTCTCCTCCAGCACCATAATTCAAAAGCATCCATTCTTCAGCGATCAGCCTTCTTTATGGTCCAGCTCTCACTTCCATCGATGACATTCCATACATTATATAATGATGTGCATTATAATGAGTGAAATAAGTATTTGATCCCCTATCAGCCAGCCAGATGTCAGGCTACCTGGTATCTTCACCAACAAGCTGAGATTAGAAGCACCTGCTGTAAGGGAGAGGTCTCACCTGTAATCCCAGAGGGCAAATGGGCAAATTTAGCAGGGGATCAAATACCTTTCCCTTCACTGTAATCCAAAAACAGCTGGAGACACCCAAGGCACTGGTCTTGCAACAGGCAGCCTGATCCAAGGCGGACCACGACAGGAGCACTACCGCCGTGCAAATATACGGCGAGAGGTTAAGAAAATGGTCCCCAAAATGCATGTTTGGATCCCAAAGTGGGGTGCGCTGTGGCAGAAAGTAAGACAGCCTTAAATAGCACTGGAAATGCGAACGGCCAGCAGGTGGCAATGTTGTCTTTCGAGAAGACCTGGTCCTTTTCGTCAAATCTGTCCCTTCTCCCACCCTTAAAAATGAGAGGTGGGTCAGCCGAAGAGTGTCTGCTTCGCATGCAGAATGTTCCAGATTCCATCCCCAACGGCACCTGCCGGTGTGGCTGGGAGAACACCTCCCTGGCAACCCCCAGAGAGATGCTGCCAGCCAGTGTAGGCCGGGCGCAAATTAAATTTGAGGTTAATAGCCAAGGTTCACAAGAGCTGAATGCTTAGGACTGCTGCTACCTAAAGCTGAAATCCGTAACAAATGCAGTAAGGCCAATTGACATAGCTGTCAACCGTCTCTTATTTGGCGTTTTATCCCAGCGCCGTGTCCCGCTGCTGTCCCTTATTGATGATGTCCCTTAAATTTCCCGGGTTTCAAAGGAAGCAGCTCCTCTCCCTCCCTCCCTGCCAGCCAGGGAGGAGGTAGGCTCCACCTGTGTTGCTTGGCTGCGTTGCTCACCCAATAAGGAGTCTCAGAACGACCGGGGGGTGGAGCTTGCATGCCTTGTGCTGATCAAATCGGCCACGTTGCCTGGGGACTCGCCTTTGCTCAGCGCTTCCCAGCGGAGAGGTGACGGTGGTTTTCCTTGCTGCATCCCCTTTGCCGGGTTGCTGCGCTGTGGGAACCACCGCTTGAGGCTTCGTTTGGCTGCTGGCTGGGCTTTCTGCCTTTGGCTCGGAGGGGCTCAGAAGTTGAACCTACCTGGTGCTCTGAAAATCCTTTATTTTGGCTGCTGATCCCTTATTTTCGAGGCTGCTGGTCCCTTATTTTCAAATCGTAAGTTGACAGCTATGCCATTTGAACACGCAATAGATCTTGGTTCTTCAGAATCCGTCTATAGCATTGCACTTCTCCAGCCAGAAGTTCCTTGTTTACCCACCCTGGCACCTGCTTCTACTCCCTAACCCTGCTGGGCTATGTCTTATTTGGCGATCCCTCGTAGCCCAGTAAGATTGTCTTCCATAAACACGGTTTTAACAATGAGTCCGTAAGTGACGGTGGAGGCCAATTCTGGATCCACACGTCCTTCCACAGTGGGGACATGGGTTCCTGGGCGGGAGTTGATCCCGATGAGGATTTGCCAAGTGTGCCTTCCTCTTAGCAAGTTTCTCCCTTTTGTCCTGAGTTCGAGTGTCTTCAAAGCCCATGACACCTTTGGCAAAGGCTGTTCTCCAACTTAGGGCACTCGCAGGCCAGTGTTTCCCAATTGACAGTGTTTATACTACATTTTTAAAAATTTGCCTTGAGACTGTCTTTAAACCTCTTTTGATCATAAATCGGAAGGGGTACTTAAGGTCATCCAGTCCCACCCCCTGCAATGCAGGAATCTCAGCTAAAGCATCCCTGGCAGATGGCCACCCAACCTCTGCTTGGAAACCTCCAAGGAAGGAGAGTCCACCACCTTCCAATGGAGTCCGAGAGCTCTTACCATCAGAAAGTTCTTCCCAACATTTAGTCGGAACTTTCTTTCTTGTAACCTGAGTCCGTTGGTTCGGGTCCCCTCCTCCTGAACAGGAGACAACAAGCTTGCTCCATCTTCCATGGCAGAGCCCTTGAAAGGGGCTCAGTCTCCTCTTTTCCACGCTGAACATACCAAACTCCTTCAACCATTGCTCACAAGGCTAGCTATCCAAGCCCTTGACCATGGGTCTTTTCCTCTCCTGGCTAAACATCCCCAACTCCCTCAACCCTTCCTCTGAAGTTTCAAAACGCGGTCTCCCTCCTCTGCCCACCTTCCAGCCTGTCAACATCCTTAAATTGTGATAATATAATAATAATTTATTATTTATACCCTGCCCATCTGGCTGGGTTTCCCCAGCCACTTTAGGCAGCTTCCAACCGAATATTAAAAACAATAAAGTGTCAGACATTAAAAACTTCCCTAAACAGGGCCACCTTCAGTTGTCTTTTAAAAGTAAAATAGTTGTTTATTGCCTTGACATCTGATGGGAGGGCGTTCCACAGGGAGGGTGCCACTACCAAGAAGGCCCTCTGCCTGGTTCCCTGTAAACTTGGCTTCTCGGAGTGAGGGAACTGCCAGAAGGCCCTCGGCGCTGGACCTCAGTATCTGGGCAGAATGATGGGGGTGGAGACGCTCCTTCAGGTATACTGGAGCTTTGAGGCTATTTAGGGCTTTAAAGGTCAGCCCCAACACTTTGAAACGTTCCAAGCCAGTGCTTGGAAACGTACTGGGAGCCAGTGTAGGTCTTTCAGGACTGGTGTTATGTGGTCTCGGCGGCCGCTCCCAGTCCGCAGTCTAGCTGCTGCATTCTGGATTAATTGGAGTTTCCGGGTCACCTTCAAAGATAGCCCCACGTAGAGTGCATTGCAGTAGTCCAAGCGGGAGATAACCAGAGCCCAGAACTGGACACAGGACTTCAGGTATGGCCTGACCAAGGCAGAACAGAGTGGGACTATGACTTCCCTTGATCGGGACCCTAGACCTCTGTTGATGCAGCCTGGAATAATAGCATTGGGGGTTTTCTGATGCGTCAATCCTAACACCTGTGCCTAGGATTCGAAATGCCAGTTCCTAGCTTCAGAATTCAAAGCAGGAGGAGACCCCGTAATCCAGCGGTTCTCAACCTGTGGGTCCCCAAATGTTGTTGGACTACAACTCCCATCATCCCTGAGCTCTTGCCTTGCTAGCTAGGGGTGATGGGAGTTGTAGTTCGACAACATCTGGGGACCCACAGGTTGAGAAAGGCTGCCATAAATAATCCTTATCAACTACCATATTTTTCACTCTGTAAGACGCACCAGATCATAAGACACCCCTAGTTTTTGGAAGAGGAAAACAAGAAAAAATATATTCTGCGCAGCGATCCCTCTTGCTGTTCTGGCTTCTGGGATAGCTGCGCAGCCTGCATTTGCTCCATAAGACTCACACACATTTCCCCTTACTTTTTAGGAGGGAAAAAGTGCGTCTTATAGAGCAAAAAATACGGTACCTCCCATTTCTTATCCATTTGCAAACAAACACCAGGAAGGGGTTTTTCCTTTCTGCTATCCCACATACGGTTCTCTGAGCCCAGTGAGAGTGCCACCAGTAAGAGAGGAAAAAACCACACAGAGGCCCCCTTTTTTTTGCAATTTTACAAAAAAGGAAAAGATTTATTCCTAGAGAAGTTTGGTGCGTGTGCCCAAGACCCTAGTGCCGATTTGCAGGTGAACATGTGCGGTGAGGCCAGAGGGTGGGCAGAAATACCCGGCAGTTCAGTAATAATAATAATAATAATAATAATAATTAAAAAAATCAAAATATAATATTCCATCCAGCTAGACAAAAAAATAACAAAAGTCAAAAAATTACAGCTCAGTAGAAAAGCCAAGAACCCTGCCTTGCTTTCCCCTCGGCGCTTCCCGATAGGAGGCAGAGGGGAGCGAAATCCTCTTTTTTTATTATTATTAAAAATAAAAACAAATCATTACCCAGAGAGGTGAGAGCAGAGAGATGGGTGAGTGGGTGGGGTTGAGTAAAATATTTTTTTCAGAATGAGCCCAGCAAGAGAGAACATGTGAAATGAGAAAAGCTACTAGGAAGTGGGGTGGTAATTATTATTATTTCGGGAGGGGGCCGTGGAAGCTGTCCTTTTCAGCAAAGTGGTCCATCTTCCAGGGATGGGCACGCATGACTAGCGAGGCGGGGCATGCATTGCAAGTAAGGGTGCCTTTTTAAAAATAAAAAGGTTGTGGTTGGCAACTAGGTGGCCGGAATTTGGCCCGGGTCAAATTACCAGCAGTGGGAACGCTGTGGTTTGTTAACCTTCCGCTGGGAAAAATATATAACTGCGCCCCCAAACTACAGAGAAGGTTCTGGCCACCTTTGTTTTGTTCCTTGGTCCCCTTATCGCAAACCCAACCCCTGGCATCGTGTCTGGAAGAAGGAAGGGTCTGAGAGACCTGCTGCCTTAGCTAAAAAGGGAAATGTTGCTGATTTGGGAGAGGAAGGAAGTTCAGGAAAGTCAGGGCAGGTTTGGCCTTTGGGGCTACCCACTTGCTGACCACTACCTTCAAAGGAAAGGAAACTTCTCCGGTTTGGTTAAGCTGATGCGATTCCCTGAAGCCCAGGAAAAACAGGTGTTTCTCGCGCCACTGCCTGGCCCCCCCAAAACGTCTGAGGGTGCCTGGCTGGGCTGCCTGCCCCCCCTTCCCATGCCATGGGGGGTTTTTTGGGGGGGGGGGCGGAGGAGAGAAAGAAAAAACAGACACAGGCGTCTTGGTCCAAGCGTGAGAAAGGATGATTTGCGGGTGATGGAGAGTCTAGCCCTCTCTGGGAATGGCACAGTGTTAAGTGGTGGCGGGAGGGGGGGGAGGAGCCAGTTCCACCAGGGAAACGCACCCCCCCTTGCACACCTCCCGCGGGAACAAGCCCCTCGTTGTGGAGGGTGGGGCGGGGAGGAAGCAGAGGACGAAGGAGGGGTGCTGCTATTGCTGTGGGTAAGGCACAGGTGGGGTCCTGCCCTTCCTGGAGGGGGGGGCTGCCACAGATTCTCCTTTCCCCCCTCCCCGGAAATTGCACAGCGGGGGCCTGGGACCGATGGGAAAAGGTGTGTGTGTGTGTGTTTTGTGTGGAGCTCATCTGGTGCGTTTGTGGGGTGGGGCGTGGGGAGAAAAGGGGTGATCAAGTTCGTTCTTTTTATCTTCTTCCGCTTTTATTCTTTCCTGCACGTTTCGGAGGATTGAACTGCTGGCTCCAGGAGGCACCGGCAAGTTGGGGGGGGTGTTTCTTTCTTTCTTTCTTGTGGGGGGGTTGCACTAAGGAGACCCCCGCTTCCGTAGCTCTGTCACAAATGCTGCGGCAAGAGAGAGAGAGAAAACGAAAATATGAAGCCGGGCCCTTTCAGCGATCCAAAATATTCCAGCGCTGTCTAGAAAAGCCAGGCTTTTCCAACCCCTGGGGGGCCTTTGCATAGCTGCTTCAGACTACAACTCCCATCAGCTCCTGCCGGCACAGTCGATGCGACACTCTGGCTCATGGGGGTTGTAGTCCAACACAGCTGGACAGCCCCAGGGTGGGGAAGACAGCTGTAGGTTATACAGTGGTACCTCTGGATGCAAACAGGATCCGTTCCAGAGCCTCGGTCGCATCCAGAGCAGAACGGAACCCGCGTCTGCACATATGCGGGTCACGATTTGCCGTTTCCGTGCATGCGTGTGACGTCATTTTGGGCATCTGCGCATGGGGCGAAACCCGGAAGTAACGCGCTCCGTTACTTCCTGGTCGCCGCAGAGCGCAACCCGAAAATGCTCAACCCGAAGCTACTTCAATCCGAGGTATGACTGCATACCATATTTTTCGCTCCGTAAGACGCACCTGACCATAAGATGCACCTAGTTTTTAGAGGACGAAAACAAGAAAAAATATAGTCTGAACAAAACAGTGGATGTATGATTTTTGTGGTTCATGCTGTGGCCACAAACATGTGATTTGACAGTGAGTTTGGGGTAGCACAATGCTAAAACCATGGACATGCTACATGATCTGATGGTGAATTTGGGGTGACTCAATGCAAAAATCCTGAGGATCCATGGGCTTTTACCTCCCCCCTCCCAGGCAGCCTCCTTTATCTCTAGCGTCCCTAATCTCTCTCCCGATTGCTTGCCCATCAACGGCTTTGTTTCAACACCCCCTTCCCTCTTTCAAAAAAAGAAAAGAAAAAGCATGATCTGCTTTTCACCCCTGGGCAATTTGGCTCCAGGGACCACGCATCCGCTCCATAAGACACACAAACATTTCCCCTTACTTTTTAGGAAGAAAAAGGTGCGTCTTATGGAGCGAAAAATACAGTATATGTAGAATTTATTTTGTAAAATTTATACACCACTTATTTTTTAAAAAACCCAAAGCCTTCATAACTTACCCTGTATGATCTCCTCTTTCATTTTCTGTAATTCCCGCCGGACCTCCTGCAAGAGTTCCTAGAGTGGGGGTTGGAAAGACATGCATTTAGGGCCCAGAGAGAAGAGAGAGAAGACAGACACCCCCCTCCAACAAGTCTGGCACCAGGGAAAGAACACAACAGAACCCCCCAACCCGCCTAAAAAGGAGTATCTTTGAAATAATCATTAGCTGATCTTTAGCTGATCTGTAAAAAACGTTACTTGGGGGAGGGGAGAGAGAGAGACATTGCACATACTTTTGTAAACCAAGAAAATCTTTAATTAAAATAAAAGAATAATAACAACAATAGGCTGAGATTCCTGCATTGCAGGGGGGATGGACTAGATGACTCTAGGGGCCCCCCTTCTCTGGTTCTAGGTGACGTTAGCTTGGACCCAAAAAGGCAGGTTTACCTGTTTCACCCGTTCCAGCTCCGACTCGTCTCCTCCGCCACCGCCACCAGCGGGTTCCGAACCGGTGATCGCTCCGGCGGATTTCATCCTGGGGTTGGCGAGAAAGTAAAAGAAGGATTTCGGGGGGGGGGGCAAGCTAAGCTTTGCAGCATCAGACCCACCAAACAGGCAGCTGCCATCGAGTTTTCCGTGAAATGCAAACAGCTGCTTCGGAAGGGGGGTTTTTCCCTGCAGGAAAACCACCCCCCTCCCCGGGGCTGCTATTTCGTTAACAAAAAACCAGGTGCGTTCGTTGCAAAAACCAACAGCCGATCTCGTTTGGCCCCGAAGGAGCGGCAACAACGAAGCCAATAACTGATAATCATATTGTGATTATTTTATTGCATTGCTATCCCACTTTTATTTCCAAGGTGGCGGTTGAGGTTCTCCCCCTCCCTCATTTAATTCTCCCCCACAAACAGCAACAGAGAGATGCAGCGACAGTGAGCTTTGTGGCCGAGTGGGGGATTCGAACCCAGGTCTCTCCTAGGTGCCAGTCCGACGGTCTAACCACTGTACCACACTGCTCAGGAACAGGAAGTATTTGCCTATGGGGCAGGGGGAACCCTGTGGGGCAGTTTGCTTGCCTCTCTCCCTGCCTTGCAAGCTTTCCTCTTTTTCATTGGCAACAGAAACGCCCCCACCCCCCGTGCTTTTCTTAAATGCCACAGAGTCCCTGAATCAGCTCAGAAAGCTGTGCTTGGGTGTCAAACTCCCATCAGCCCAGCCACGGAGAAGGATGGGAGTTGTAGTTCAGCAGCGCCTGGTGGGGGCACAGATACCTCTCCACCCAGCCCGGTCTTAAAAGAAAACCAGCAGTGAGAGCTAAGTGGGCACCCTCTGCTCACGGAAGGCTCCAGGTACGTTTGAAGTCGGCCGCGATTCCTGCATCACGGCGGGTTGGGCTTGATGAGCCCTGGGGTGCCCTTCTATGGTTCTACGGGGGTACTTAGCAGATATAAGTCTATCCTCCACCAGGGCCTGGGCCTTCTCAGTGGTGGCTCCGACCTGGTGGAATGCTCTGTCCCACGAGACTAGGGCCCTTCAGGATTTAACCTCCTTCCGTCGGGCCTGTAAGACAGAGCTGTTCCGCCTGTCCTTTAATTTGAATTCAGCCTGATCTTTTATTTCCCTTCTTTTCCCTCCCCTTTTATGAAGATCACCCGCTCTGGGATCCCACAGCTAATTCTCCCCTGGCCTCCTCGCTGGCCCAAATAGGACCAATTCAACCAGCTAGCCCTGGGGATTATCCAATTGATCTTCGAATTTTATTGTTATTTATGTTTTTATACTGTATTTTATGCTGCTTTTACAATTCAGTGTTTTATATTTGTTGTTAGCCGCCCTGAGCCCGGTTTTTGAACCGGGTAGGGGGGGTATAAATAAAAGATTATTATTATTATTATTATTATTATCCAGCCCTCCCTGCCTAATACCTAGACTGGCCGAACTGTGGACGGGCTGCAGCTGAGGGCGTGGTGCTTCTCTGGGTCACAGTTGTCCTGAGCGTTGGGGGGGGGGCAGAGAAGAGAAAGACTGAGACACAGCTTGGGTGGGGGGCAAGCAAGATAGCCACCCCCCCACCGCCTGCCCCCCACTTTGTGGGTCAAGGAGGGAGAGAAACACAACACACAAACACACCAATTCCACTGGCTTCGTGGAAACTTGGTGCCAGGAAAAAAGGGCGGGGTGATTTCAGAGAAGCTCAAAAAGACCATGATGGACAGGTGTCACTTACCTGGGTAGCGTCGTGCTGGTCTTCTCCCAAGGCCTGCGGAAGGAATCTAGGACAAAGCAAGGAGGGAGAGGGTGGGTAGGGGGCTGTGGGTGGCAGAGGGGCAGACCCCCTGGACACTCTTGACTTCCTGCTGAAGCCCCCATTTAGCGTTCCCCAGGCGCCTGGGAACTCTAGAGTGAATGGTCCTCACGTATCTCTAAAGAGACCGGCTGCCAGATCAGGCCAAGGGGTGCCCATCGAGTCCAGCGCTCTGTTCTCACAGTGGCCAACCGCCCCCAAGAACGAAGGAGTCCAGATAGACTGCTCCTGAACCTGGAAGCTCCATAAGAAAAGCCCAGCTTCTGGATTCATAATGATCATTTTAACGATTTATACCCTGCACATCTGGCTGGGTTTCCCAGCTTCCAGCACCTATAAAAGGTAAAGGGACCCCTGACCATTAGGTCCAGTCGTGACAGATTCTGGGGTTGTGGCGCTCATCTCGCTTTATTGGCCGAGGGAGCCGGCGTACAGCTTCCGGGTCATGTGGCCAGCATGACTAAGCCGCTTCTGGCGAGCCAGAGCAGCGCACGGAAACGCCGTTTGCCTTCCCGCCGGAGTGGTACCTATTTATCTACTTGCACTTTTGACGTGCTTTCGAACTGCTAGGTTGGCAGGAGCAGGGACCGAGCAACGGAAGCTCACCCCGTCGCGGGGATTCGAACCGCCGACCTTCTGATCGGCAAGCCCTAGACTCTGTGGTTTAGACCACAGTGCCACCCGCATCCCTTGTGTTGAATTATACAGAGCGTTAATTCTTAACGGTCATCGCACCCACTTATTGTCAGACGCAAAAGGGTTTGTATCAGCAAATTAAGTTCTTTTTGCAGCCAATAACTAAAGCTTCGAACCGCCGACCTTCTGATCGGCAAGTCCTAGGCTCTGTGGTTTAACCCGCACGTAATAAATCCACTCCAGTGTCCTCTTCTCCCTGGGGCCAGTCAGATTCCTCAAAGGGAAAGCCGCATGCAGGATTTGAGCACGGTCACCATGCCCAGTAGCCATGGCAAGCCACAAGGCGGGTCTTCCACTGGCCGGAGGGCCTTGTGCCCACTCTAGTCTATCGCCCGCCTTCTGGGCCCCACTGCCTACCTGTGGTCTTGGCACCAGCGTCCATGTCGTTTTGCTGGGGGGGGAGAAACAGAGATGGCAATTGAGACATGAGAAGCCACCAGCCTTAGTCCCACACCCAGGGGGACCCTCTGCTCTGCAAAGCAAAAACCAGAGAGGGACGCCAGTCGCTGCCTCTTAGCCCAACCCGCCTCCCAGGGTTGTCGCTGTCGTTGTAGGAAGTGAACTGGGGACGGGGAGGGCAATGTTTGCCACCTTGCAGAAAAAGGTGCCATATAAACTGGCCCTACTACACAGGTGCCAATAATGCCTCTTTTCTGCATTTGCAAGAACTCGATGGTTTGCCCTTTGGAACTCCCTGCCTCATGAGATGGAGCAGGCGCCTTTGCTCTACCCCTTTTCCAGCTCCAGCTGAAAACATCCTTGTTCAGACAAGCCTGTGCAGATACCTTAGAAAGGTATTTTTTTATCTGTTCCATATTTGGTGGGATTTCCCTTGATTTTATTTATGTTTCATATATCAATTCGAGGTGTGTTTTTCTTTTCAATCCAGTGTTGGGGAAACTGCATTGCAATACTAAATGAATGAATTTTTGCAAGGGGTGGAATGAATGAAACCCAGATTTCTAAACGTCTGGTTCTCAAACTGGACAGGGAAGGGGAGCCAGGTACTTACGGGACCTTCATCTTTCTTTGGAATGGGTTTCTCACCCTGATCTGCAACTTTCCTCCTGGGGAGACGGGGATTAGGGTGGGGGGAGAGAGAGAGAGAAACGGGTTGTTCAAGATCGCCTCACTCCCTAAATGCCCTCTCATCGATCTATGGAAGCAGCCCAGTCACAGAACACCCCTTCTGTGTTCGTAATAAATCTAGCTTTTAGTGTGGCGGCTAGACTCTGGAACTCCCTGCCACTTGACACCAGGCAGACGCCTTCTCTCTGCACTTTTCAGCCAAACGCATTCTTGCTTATGAAATTACTACACATGTGGGGCACCCTGTTCCAAGCAGGGCGCAAGACGAAGAGAAATAAGGAATTTGGCAACCTTCTCCTACGACTATTGGGAGAAAAACAGGCCTTGCCTGAGCCCAGAAAGGGGCTCCGTCTCGCCTGGGTCCTCAGCCCTACCTGGAACTGCTGCCAGGGTCTGATCCTGGGCCCTTTTGCATGATGCACCACAGAGCCAGGATCTTTTCCTTGACAAATCAAGAGCTAAGATCCTAGTCCTCAAGAGTCTTGGATTTAAATAGGAAGACTGGTACTCTGCGCCACTGAGCCAGGCCCCCTCACTGCCACCCACCCACCCGCCCCGCGAGGTTCCTCCGCACTCACCGCCGCGCCAACATGGCGCTCATTTCCTCCATGAGCCCCCCGCCTCCCCCTCCACTCGGCGGGGGCGCCGCGCCAGCCGCGGCCTTTGGCGCCTCCTCCTGCGGAAGAAGAACAGGGTTAAGGGTTAAGGCGAAGGCGCCAAGAGGGTGCCCAACTACAACTCCCATCTACAGCCTTGGGGGAAACCGGGCGCCTGAACTACAATTCCCGCCACCCGCGGAGTTGTCTGTACTCACCTTGCCCACTTTCTTGAGCTTTGCCCCTGCGAGGGCAGCAGCCAAGCCGGAGGGTGGGCCGCCCCCTCCTGCCGGGCCCTGGGGAGGCGGGAGGGGCGGCGCAGGGGGCGGCCCCCCTCCCGGAGGTGGAGGGCCAGGGGGGCCAGGCGGAGGGCCGGGCGGCGGCGGAGGCCCCGGAGGTGGGGGTGGCCCCGCCGGTGCTCCTGGCGGTGGGCCCGGGGGCGGGCATGGCGGGGCGGGCGGGGGTCCTGGTGGGGGCGGGGGTCCTCCTCCCGAAGGGGTCCCTGCAGGCACTGCAACAAGAGAAGTTTCGGTTGTGGCTCCAGCACGGCAGGGGGTTGAGCTGGATGACCCCACGGGGTCCCTTTCCAACGCTACACAGTTCTGCAGAATGTGGGGTTGCATCCATAGAGGGGCAAAGTGAGGCACCTCATCACAGCCACCCCACAAGCATAGAACAGTTGCCTGCCCAGCCCAAGATATTTTCTTAGGTCACATCCACACGTCACTTTTAAAGCATTACGATACCTCTTTAAACAGCCCTGGCTTCCCCCAAAGGATACTGGGAGTTGTAGTATGTTAAGGGTGCTATTTCCCATCCCACAGCCATGATTCCCAGAGCTCCTTACCCCCTCCCAGAACTACAACTCCCAGAACTCCCTCTTCCACTCCTAGAACTACAACTCCCAGAACGCCTGCTTCCCCTCCCAGAACTACAACTCCCAGAACCCCCTCTTCCCCTCCTAGAACTACAACTCCCAGAATGCCTCCTTCCCCTCCAAGAACTACAACTCCCAGAACGCCCTCTTCCCTTCCTAGAGCTACAACTCCCAGAACGCCTGCTTCCCCTCCCAGAACTACAACTCCCAGAACGCCCTCTTCCCTTCCTAGAGCTACAACTCCCAGAACTCCCTCTTCCCCTCCTAGGACTACAAATCCCAGAACTCCTCCTTCCCCCTCCCAGAACTACAACTCCCAGAACGCCCTCTTCCACTCCTAGAACTACAATTCCCAAAGTTCCCTCTTCCCCACACAGAGCGACAACTCCCAGAGATCCCTGGGAAGGGGGGTGTGTGTCTGTTAAAACCACTCTGACATTTGTACCTCCGGGAGGGGGATATAGTGCTCTCCTGACGACTCCCACCACCCACCACAAACTACAGTTCCCAGGATGTTGGAGGGCCGTACTGCTTTAAGCATAGGTGACGATGTGAGCTTGAGCGTTTAGCAGAACGCCCTCCATCCCATTCTCTCCCCCCCCCCCCCCCAAATCCTCAGCCTGGGCGCGTTAATCCACACTAAACCAATTGTTTATTCTTCAGGCGCTCAGAGGCCGGCCAGCCTCCTCCCACCCGCAGACTTCCCTTTTGGGAGCGAGGTCACCCCACTTATGTTAGGGGGTGGAAAGGCTTTGTCGAGGGCACCCCCCCCCCCGCAAAACCCCCCATAACCCTCAAAGCACATTTCCAAGTCTCTCCCCGGAGCCATTACCAGCCAAGGTCCTGAAACAGAAAAGGGGTTTTGCACCCCACACTCGCCTGGGAGAGGGAGGGAGGGTTGGGGTCACCCACTGGGTGCTGCTCGTCACCCCCCACCCCACCCCAGGGACCCACCTGAGATTGTCACCCGCCTCTCTCGCTCGGCCTGCTCCTGTTGCTCCCTCTCCAGCTGCTGCTGCTGCCTGGAGTTTGGAGGGGGAAGAAAAGAGAAAATCAGGGCCCCCCTGCAGTCCGAGGGTCCAGGAGCGGCGGCTGGGCAGGATGAGGCCCATCTGGGCACGGTCCCCCACCCTCTCCTGTTTTCAGCCCCTCCCCAATTGCTGCCACTCACTTCTGCGGAGGCTCTGGCAAAATCCCCGACACTGCAAAGCCACACATGGCCAGGAGCTGGGGCAGCCCTCCAGGAACGGGGTGCTCTGTGCACGCTGGGAACAGGCGGCCGGAATGGAGGCGGCGAGTGGGGCGGCCGGGTGACCCGATGACCCCTCAAGCCGATTAGCAGCTAAGCTGGGAACGCCCTCTGCTGCGCATGGAGGCAGGAAGGAGGGCTGGGGGAATTAGCAGCAATTGTCCGCTGACCTGTGTACCGGATCGGACCCACAGTATTGCCTGCACGGGCCGGTAGCTGCTCTCCAGGGTTGCAGAGGCAAGGGTCTCTCCCTGGAGAGGCCACTGCTGGGGACTGAGGCTGTTGCATGCGCTTTCCATTCTGGCCGAGAATGAATCGGAGCTAAAAAGGGAGGTGCAATTCGCACCTGGGGCGGAGGGAAGGACAAGCTGGCGAGAGGGAGACCCACTGGATTTGGGGAGAGGGGCTTGGTTACAGTGTCCGCCTCAGCCAAGGGACTCAATCGGGTGGCCCTCAGGGGTCAGCTGCTTCGCAGCCTCAGTTTGCTCCGTCTGTAAAATGGGCACGGCAGGAAACTCAGATGCGCGGGGATTTGTCGGAAAGCCAAGGACTCCTTGAAAACATGCAGCGGTTTAACAAAGTGCAAAAGGAGATGTGAGCGATGAAGTAATTATTATTATTATTATTATTATTATTATTATTAATACCCTGCCCATCTGGCTGGGTTTCCCCAGCCACTCTGGGTAGCTTCCAACAGAATATTGAAATACAATAACATATTAAACATTAAAAGTGACCCTGCTGCCCCCAAAACCCTTCCCCTCCCTCACCTCTTCGCAGAGGGTTGGACTAGATGACCCTTTCCCCTCCAGCTCTTCCATTCTATGGGCACAAGCACTGAGGACGCAGCCTGGGCCTCTGCCAACCTGGTGCCCATCAGTCCCTGTGAACCTAGCTTGGTACTAAACTGGAGTAGGCAAAGGCCCCGCAAGGTGTTGCTCAGGGCAGTAAAAGGCAGTAGCAGGGAGTTCCGCAGAGCACCAAGTACCTTTTCTGCTGCTCCGCCATTTCTTCCGCCGTGGGGCCGTTCTGGATGGGCCGTGGAGCTACCGAGTTCCCTGCGGGGTGTGAAAAAATCAGGATTTAGAGCCAGTTTGGCAGACCAGACCAGAGCGGGTCTCGCCCTTCTCCCTTGCAAGTTTAAGGCTGAGTATCACCGCAAGCTGGAAAACCTTTCCAGCATCCCCAGATTCTTCCATCTCCCCCTCACCTGAATCCAGAGCCTCCAGAGCAGCCATCATCCCACCAGCAAACTGGCTAGCGTCCTCTTTGGTGCCAAAGTTGAGCCCCCAGACTTGGCGGGCATCTCGCCACTGGTGAAAGTTGGGCGTAGCCTGGTTGTATTTTAGCCCTTTCACGATCGGGCTGTTGATGACCACCTTTGGAAAAGGGAAGGGGAGGTAAAGGAAAAGCTGAGCCAAGACGGATTTTGCCAACTTGGTGCCCTCCAGCTCCCTCATAAAGACTAAAACTCCCATCAGCCCCAGGCAGGGGGCACAAGCATTTTGGACCCTCCCCTGGCGCCAAACCCGACCCCTTTCCGGTGCCAAGACCTGACCCCTTTGACGTGACCTGAGAGCCAAGCGAGGCTCTGCTGCTCCTTCCTTTCGTAACGGCAAGATATTCAGCGGGTCAAAATAACGAGGATGGGAAAAGTCTGAGCCACGATCTCCGTTCCGCGTTTGTAAGAAGTCGGTATTTTAGTGTGGCACTATTGGAACTCCCTGCCTGTTGACAGCAGCCTCAGTTTGCTCCGTCTGTAAAATGGGCACGGCAGCAAACTCAGATTCGCGGGGAGTTGTCGGAAGGCCAAGGACTCCTTGAAAACATGCAGCGGTCTAACAAAGTGCAAAAGGGGATGTGAACGATGAAGTGACCTAGCCAGCTCCCCCCAAAATCCTTCCCCTCCCTCTCCTCTTTGCAGGGGGTTGGATGTCGATATTTTAGTGTGGCACTACTAGAACTCCCTGCCTGTTGACAACAGACAGGCAGGAGACTTCGCAGCACCCTTTCAGTTCACGCTAAAAACATTTATTTGTACCTGGAGAGATTGGGAACATTGACACGTGCATCCATCTGGTTTTTAGTTTACTGCTGAATTTAATTTTCTTCTAATCTATTAGCCTGTAATTTTACAGTTTTGTAAACAGCTTTGAGGCAGGTATAAATTCTACGAAATTACGTAAATAAATAGGGGAGAGCCCCAGACACAGACCCATGCACCCCAGGAGAGGGAAAAATAAAGAGAAAGAGCCCTTTTGGGTACCAGAGCCAGGGGGGTTGCTATGGCGACACTGGAGATGCTCTAACACAGGCTTCCTCAACCTCAGCCCTTCAGGTGTTTTTGGCCTACAACTCCCATGATCCCTAGCTAGCAGGACCAGTGGTCAGGGATGATGGGAATTGCAGTCTCAAAACATCAGGAGGACCGATGTTGTGGAAGCCTGCTTTAACATCACAGGAGAGGCAGACCTCCCCTCCCCTCCCTCATCTTTGCTGTGGGGGGTCCTTACCTGTTGGTCCGGCTGCATCTTTCTCCCCACCACCCTGAACGTGTTGTTGACGGGGCTGTGGTAGATCTGGATGCGGCTGAAGGCCTGGGGTCCGCTCCCCGCGGGCACCCATTTCTTGTTGGCATCATCATAGAGCATCACAGTGGCTCGGGTGGTGCAGACGACGGACTCACTGGGTTCAGGGAGGTGGGGGAAACAGGAAGGAAAGAGTGAGGCTAAGCCAGGGCACAAAGACCCCCACCAGGAAAAGCGTGGGGCAACACAGACACACACGCTTTGAGGGTACCAGTGTAAGATGCATCATCAAAAGAACTAGGCTTCTATATGATCTTGGCACCTAGGATAGCTAATTGCAGCTCTTTTTAAAATAAAAATAATAATAATTTTTACTGAATGATTTTATGCTACAAAAAACATTACAACCATACTACCCCAAAATATAATTGAGAAATAAAAATTACATGCATCAATATTTTGTTTATTTGTTATTCACTGCCTTATTTCCTCCCAAACATTCCATACAAAACACACACACACAAAATTAATAACGATAATAATGAAAATAAGTATTTTCCCCCTTTTATCTTACAAAACCTTTTCTTCAATTTTGACTTCCTGTCAAGTCCCATTGCATATGTTTTATCTTACAATTGAATGTACACAAAACAATAAGCCTTTCGATATAAATTTTCCAATGCATTCAGAAAACATAATAAATCCTTAATTGTTATCCACCGCCTTTTACTTCCTTTGTCACTCTAATGCTAATTGCAACTCAACGGAAAAACAGCCCAGAATTTTACACTGGGCGCTGGGTAGCACTCAGTCCGGAACTGAGATACAATCAAGAAAATTACACATAAATTGAGATTTCAACAGGGACGACCAGCATTCTTTGGCTACATATATAGCAGAATCGACATTTTCAAAACAACTCTCATCGCAGGCTGGAACATCTGGAACTTGACTCAATAATTCCCTTATTTATTTCACAAACTACCAAATAACGTCAACGTTCTTTACAGTGGCGCCTTGGTTCTCAAGCGCCTTGGTACTCAAACAACTTGGAACCCAAACACTGCAAAAGTGTTCCAGTTTGTGAACTTTTTTTGGAAGCAGAACATGCTCCCTTTTGAGTGTTATGCTTCTGATCTGAGTGTTACGCTTCTGTTTTGAGTGCTACGCTGACATCTGTTTTTGCTATATATTTTTCATTATTGCAGCTTTCATTTTTGTTTTTGTGACTGTGTGGAACCCAGTTCAGCTGCTGATTAATTGATTGTGTAACTGCAGTACATTGTTTATTGCTTTCATTTTATGGATCGATAGATAGTCTCGTTAGATAGTAAAATTCATGTTAAGTTGCTTTTTTAGGGGTTGTTTTTTAAAAGTCTGGAACGGATGAATCCATTTTGCATTGCTTTCTATGGGAAAGCGCACCTTGGTTTTGGAGGGTTTTGGTTTTGGAACTAATAATAATAATAATAATAATAATAATAAATAAATTTTTATTTATATCCCGCCCTCCCCAGCTGAAGCCAGGCTCAGAGCGGCTAACAACAATAAAATAATACAACATTCTAACTTCTGGAATGGATAAAGTTTGAGAACCAAGGTACCACTGTACTTAGATTTTCATTATTTTGACTCCTGCGTATGCATTCCCACTTGCTTATTTTCCAGTTTTATTCTTCATCTTTTTATTTTCAACACCCGCTGTTCTGTTATATATACGCATCATAAAATGAAATAAAAAATATTTACAAACACACAAAATATCCCAGCTCCGAACTTCTTTCAATACAGTCAAATTTAGCGTAGTAGCTGGTAAAAAGTAGGTAGAAACCTCCCCCAACCCATTCCCATCTGAAAAAACATTACCCAAGGAAGAGGAAGGAGCTGTTCCACTAACATTAAGCAAATTGCATTTCTCCATTATGCAAATATGAACAGAACCCTATTCTTCTCTGTGCTCAGTTTTAAAAGATAGAAGTTGACAGTCTGGGGGGGGGGTGTGTGTTATACTGCAATGTTTATTTATTTAAAAGCTTTCTGTATTGCTTTTCTGACAAAACTGCCCCCCCAATGCATAAATAAATGAGTTCTTAAGGCCCATTTCACAGACACCAGAGATGAGGACAGCCTGATATCACTCGGAAATGGGTTCTCTAACTGGAGAGCAGGGGACTCAGAAAAGGGCATGTTCCTTAAGAACTTGCTCTCAATTTGTGGACTCCAGCTTTTTGACCCGACAGCCATCAGGGTTGCCACTTTTTTATTTAAAAAACTAGCCTTGCTCCTCTGCATCCTAACATGCCAAAAAAAAGGGCAAGTGATGCTCTCCCCTGTCTACTGAAGAAGCATATCTTTGTTGGAAAATTTTAACTTCCCCTTAAAAAAAATCACTCGCAATTGATGTGCATGGCTGGTGTTAAAGGCAGAGGAGCAGGAGCAAGAAAAAAAGTTGGCAACCCCGGCTGAGATTTTTTTTCCACAGAATTCAGAAGCATGCCTTGGGAGGCCTGTCACAAACACAGCGAGACCTGACACATGGCCTCCATCGGTGCGGATGGAAAGATCTGCAAAGCATCAAGTCACAGAAGCCCCAAACAACAGGCAAGAGAAATGTACTGTTGGCAGGGAGAAGAGTTTCCGCGGCCCCTTCTGCCTGGATTCCCCAGAGGTCCGGCCTTATATGGGTCCTCAGGGGCCAGTGGCGGGGAAGGGGGCAAAGGCACGCGCTTGCCCCTGGAGCCTCTGGGCTTCTTCCTCTTGTCTCCAGCCTCCCCTGCTCCCTCCAGCTCTCCTGCTTTAACAGCACCGAGAGCCAGGCAGAAATCCATCAGGTGCAGCTCACTTTGCCACAGACAGCTGCCCCTGTTGAATGGCTGCCTGCTCAAGGCAAGATGCAACAGGGCAGGAGCAGCAAGATGGCTGAGAGTCAGCCAAATATGTATATATACCCAACGGGGAAATGGGAACCAACAACGCCTGACCAAGGATAAGATCTGGAGACTTGTGAAATAGGTTTGGGGACTTTGAGAAAGGCGGCCCACATTTTAAGCCACCTATTCTACAATTAAAAATTGGGAAAGGAGTACGACAAGGCTGTATATTGTCTCCCTGCTTATTTAACTTATACTGTATGCAGAATTCATCATGCGAAAGGCTGGGCTGGATGAATCCCTAGCCGGAATTAAGATTGCCGGAAGAAATATCAACAACCTCAGATATGCAGATGACACAACCTTGACGGCAGAAAGTGAGGGAGAATTAAAGAATCTTTTATTGAGGGTTAAAGAGGAGAGCGCAAAATATGGTCTGAAGCTCAACATCAAAAAAACGAAGATCATGGCCACTGGGCCCATCACCTCCTGGCAAATAGAAGGGGAAGAAATGGAGGCAGTGAGAGATTTTACTTTCTTGGGCTCCATGATCACTGCAGATGGTGACAACAGCCATGAAATTAAAAGCTACCTGCTTCTTGGGAGAAAAGCAATGACAAACCTAGACAGCATCTTAAAAAGCAGAGACATCACCTTGCCAACAAAGGTCCGTATAGTAAAAGCTATGGTTTTCCCAGTAGTGATGTATGGAAGTGAGAGCTGGACCATAAAGAAGGCCGGTCGCCGAAGAATGGATGCTTTTGAATTCTGGTGCTGGAGGAGACTCTTGAGAGTCCCATGGACTGCGAGAAGATCAAACCTCTCCATTCTGAAGGAAATCAACCCTGAGTGCTCACTGGAAGGTTGGATCCTGAAGCTGAGGCTCCAAGACTTTGGCCACCTCAGGAGAAGAGAAGACTCCCTGGAAAAGACCCTGATGTTGGGAACGATGGAGGGCACAAGGAGAAGGGGACGACGGAGGATGAGATGGTGGGACAGTTTTCTCGAAGCTACCAGCATGAGTTTGACCAAACTGCGGGAGGCAATGGAAGACAGGAGTGCCTGGCGTGCTCTGGTCCAGGGGGTCATGAAGAGGCGGACACGACTAAACGACTAAACAACAACAAATTCTACAATTAAGTTCATTGGCTGGCCAATAACATTCTTTCAGCCGAACCCGCCTCACAGGGCTGTTGTTGCGAGGGATAAAGTGGGGAAGGAGCGAGGCCAAACCAACCTGAGCATCTTGGGGGGTAAACTGGTGATAAATAAATACGTTGGAAAGGATGAGGGAAGCCGTACTCCTCTGCCACAGCTGGCTGCCGGGGATTATGGGAGTTGTAGTCCAATGCTACTTGGAAAAGCCACAGGTATCGCTCACTCCTGCCTTAACCCAGCTTCCGGCCTGAAGCTCAGTGAAAACCAGGTGCCTTTGGGGAAATCTCCAGGCAGGGCAGGAGTGCAACAACACATGCATTTTGGCTAGTAGCCACCGACAGCCCTCTCCTCCTCGATTTTAAAGCCACCCCTGCCTCATGTGGGAGGGAGTTCCACAGGCTAACTCTGTGCCATGTGAAGAAGTCCTTCCTTTTATCAGTCCCAAATCTTCCAACATTCAGCACCCGTTAGTTCCAGTGTGGTGAGAGAGGAAGACGAAACTTTCACGGCGCTGCTTTCTCCATGCCATGAATAATTTTATAAACTGTCATGTTGCCACTTACACAACTTTCCTCTAAACTCACAAGTCCCAAATGCTGCAACCTTTTATTTGTAGGAGAGTCCCTCCCCTTGATATATCGGATGCTGTTTTCTGAACCTTTTCCAAACCCTTTCTGAGTTAAGGCAACCAGAACAACACACCGTCTCCCAAATGCGACCAGATCACAGATTTGTACGACGACATTCTATGAGCAGTTTTATTTTGAACCCATTTCCAAATTATCCAATTATCTGGTTATCTCCCGCTTGGACTACTGCAATGCGCTCTACGTGGGGCTACCTTTGAAGGTGACCCGGAAACTGCAATTAATCCAGAATGCGGCAGCTAGACTGGTGACTGGGAGTGGCTTCTGAGACCACATAACACTGGTCCTGAAAGACCCACACTGGCTCCCAGTACATTTCCGGGCACACTTCAAGGTGTTGGTGCTGACCTTGAAAGCCCTAAATGGCCTTGGTCCAGTATACCTGAAGGAGCGTCTCCACCTCCATCGTCCAGCCCGCACATTGAGGTCCAGCTCCGAGGGCCTTCTGGCGGTTCCCTCCCTGGGAGAAGCCAAGTTACAGGGAACCAGGCAGAGGGCCTTCTCAGTGGTGGCACCCGCCCTGTGGAACGCCCTCCCACCAGATGTCAAAGAGAAAAACAACTACCAGACTTTTAGAAGACATCTGAAGGCAGGCCTGTTCAGGGAAGCTTTTAATGTTTGATGTATTACTGTATTTTAATATTTGGTTGGAAGCCGCCCAGAGTGGCTGGGGAAGCCCAGCCAGATGGGCGGGGTATAAATAATAAATTATTATTATCATTATTATTTGACGTCTTTGTCTCTACTATAACCCCAAGGTCTCATTCTTGGTCAGTCCCCGTCAGTTCAGACCCTGTGAGCATAAGTGTGAAATTTAAAGAGTTTTTTTGGCCTGAAATGCCTCATTTTACCCTGGTTTACAACGAATTGCAATTGTCGCCTTACCACCCATTCACCTAGTTTGGAGAGGTCCTTTCGGAACTCCTCACAGTATCTTTTTGTTTTAACGACCCTGAACCATTTTAGTATAATCAGCAAACTTGGCTTGCTCACTCCTAACTCTAGATGGTTTATGAATGGGTTAAAAAGAACAGGACCCAATTCTGACCTTTGGGGGGGGGGTGCGGAGAGAAAAGGTTTCCCCTTTCTACTTCTCCCCCGTTGGAGAAGTGTCCGTTTATCGCTTCCTGCTACTTAACCGGTTCCTGATGCACAACAGAACTCAGGAATCGTCGGCGAGGCCTTTTGTCAAGAACCTATTTGAGAGTTCAAGGACCCTAAGTCACTTCTGCCTACATGCTTGTGTTTTTAAAATAAATAAATAAATACATTATTACAGTCGGAGACCAGCTTATAAAACACACTTGGGGGTACAATCCCAGAAGGATAACAAACAAGATGATGGATTTTTCGGAGCTAGCTGACCTGACTGGAAGTCTGTGACCAGAAGGAGGAGGAGTACCAGGAAGAATGGTTGAAATTTAAAGACTATTTAGTTAAATATGTCAAGTTGAATTAAATGGAAAAGCTTGCAAATACCAGATAGGCTTAGGATTGAAATATGTAATGTGATGAATTAATGTTTAATGCTAAATTGGAAAGAAAGAAAGATGTTACATGTTAAAGTTAATTTTATAAGAATACTGGTTTTGGAAAACCGTTAAAATGATACACACTGAAATTCAACCAGGGGGATATGAGAAAGTCACTTAACAATGTTAAAAAGTTTAGTCTTAATAAGGTTAGGATTTATGTTTGTTTGTTTATGTGTTTAAAAAATTTGTGGAAAATCAATAAAAAAATTGGAAAAAAAACAGAAGGAAAACAAACATTTAAAACAATGTACAATAATAAATTTAAAATTTATAAATGTGATAAGCGTATAGACGCTTAAAACTTTAAGGTAAGCTACTGCAGACAGATGATCCAGGGTCCCCCATGGAACAGAGTTTGGGGATTTTTTAAACGAACTAGTTTGAGTCGAGGGATGGTGTGCGCCTACAGATCTGTACACAGAATCTGGCGACCATCCGGGTCGTCTTATGATCTTTGCCTAACAGGAAAAGGTCTAATTTTTGGCTTTTCCGGAAGGTCAGCGAGCCTCACCAGCAGGGGATCAATGGTCTCACTCCGTGCCTCTTCATAAAAGGGACATCTAAGGAACAAGTGCTCTGGGCTTCCTATATCCCCCAATGAGCATATGGGAGTCTCTGAGCATATGGGACTTTTTTTAAAGGCTTCTTCCAGAATATGCTCGTTTAAACTCAAAGAACTCTGACAGCTTCGGGAGACAGGACTTGTCCTTGCAGAAGCCATGCTGCCTCTGCTTCAAGCAAGGCTTGTTCTTCTATAGCCTTGATTTTGCTGTTGTTGTTTAGTCGTGTCCGACTCTTCGTGAGCCCCTGGACCAGAGCACGCCAGGAACTCCTGTCTTCCACTGCCTCCCGCAGTTTGGTCAAACTCATGCTGGTAGCTTCGAGAACACGGTCCCACCATCTCGTCCCCTTCTCCTTGTGCCCTCCATCTTTCCCAGCATCAGGGTCTTTTCCAGGGAGTCTTCTCTTCTCCTGAGGTGGCCAAAGTCTTGGAGCCTCAGCTTCAGGATCTGTCCTTCCAGTGAGCACTCAGGGCTGATTTCCTTCAGAATGGAGAGGTTTGATCTTCTTGCAGTCCATGGGACTCTCAAGAGTCTCCTCCAGCACCAGAATTCAAAAGCATCCGTTCTTTGGCTCTCAGCCTTCTTTGTGGTCCAGCTCTCACTTCCATACATCACTACTGGGAAAGCCATAGCTTTTACTATACGGACCTTTGTTGGCAAGGTGATGTCTCTGCTTTTTAAGATGCTGTCTAGGTTTGTCATTGCTTTTCTCCCAAGAAGCAGGCGTCTTTCAATTTCGTGACTGCTGTCCCCATTGCAGTGATCATGGAGCCCAAGAAAGTAAAATCTCTCACTGCCTCCATAGACTTGATTGCTTTATCCTTAACGACATTTCCCACCAGTTGAACTTCGCGCAGCGGAATGGGTGCAGAAATATATTCTGGGGAAAACCCACATGCGGCTCAGGGGAATGGAGTCACCCTGCCCCCCCACCTCCTGTCGCAAGCCTCAACAGCTCCTGACCTCTGTGTGGCAACCGCACAGCTATCGCTTAACCCGGGGGTTTCTGCAAGAGGAAACTGAGAAAAGGCTTGTCGAAACCACCATGCGCAGAAATTCTGGCCAAGCAGACGCTCCAAACTGGGCTGCTGAACTCTCCTGATCTTGCAGAGACTCCGGGGGCCGGGAGGGGAATAGCGTGTGCAGACATGAAGCCTCAGTGGATAGAGAACTGGACCCGTATGACCTGAAACATTCCCATGTGCACACACACTCCATCTCTGCACAGGTTACGACGCCTGGCTATGGAGAAGTCTCTCTCTCTGCCTCAGTTCCCCACTCTGTAAAATGGCCACTGCTCAGAGGAAATGCAGCGGCTCATAAAATATACTTTGCAGAGTTAAAGTGTTGCAGAAAGGGTTAGCTGTCCTAAGGCACCGCTAAATCAACATTAAAAGATTTATCAGCTCCATCTGGTACGCAGGCTGAGACCCTTCCTGCCCGCAGACTGTCTGGCCAGAGTGGTGCATGCTCTGGTTATCTCCCGCTTCGACTACTGCAATGCGCTCTACGTGGGGCTACCTTTGAAGGTGACCCGGAAACTACAACTAATTCAGAATGCGGCAGCTAGACTGGGGACTGGGAGCGGCTGCCGAGACCATGTAACACCAGTCTTGAAAGACCTACATTGGCTCCCAGTACATTTCCAAGCACAATTCAAAGTGTTGGTGCTGACCTTGAAAGCCCTAAATGGCCTCGGCCCGGGATACCTGAAGGAGCGTCTCCACTCCCATCATTCTGCCCGGACACTGAGGTCCAGCGCCGAGGGCCTTCTGGCGGTTCCCTCGCTGCGAGAAGCCAAGTTACAGGGAACCAGGCAGAGGGCCTTCTCGGTAGTGGCGCCCGCCCTGTGGAACACCCTCCCACCAGATGTCAAAGAGAACAACAACTACCAAACTTTTAGAAGACATGTGAAGGCAGCCCTGTTTAGGGAAGCTTTTAATGTTTAATAGGTCATTGTATTTTAGTGTTTTGTAGGAAGCCACCCAGAGTGGCTGGGGAAACCCAGCCAGATGGGAGGGGAAAATTAATAAATTATTATTATTATTATTAAATGTATGAGGGCAAGCGGGAGGGCAGGCCACATGGGGACGTGTTTAACATACAACTGCAGGGTTCTGCACCGCAGATGCAAAATATGAACTTATCTGCAACCAGGAAGCCCAAATTCCAAGGCTGGGCTGAATTATGCAAATCAAAAAAGAAGAAAGGTGTTTGCAATTTAATCCGCTTAAGTAGTACAGGGCTGCCAGTCCACCATGGGGTGGGGTGGGGGGAGGAAAGAAAGAAAGGGGTTGTGCTTGGAAAATGGAGGGGCATCTTTGTGGAATGTTTCCATGCAGAATGCTGAGGACTAGAACCTTGGGCAGGCAGGTGGGAAAGAGAAGTAACTCTATAGGAAGCCGGTGGCAAGTTCCGCATGGGACTCGAGGCGCCTGGGCAAGCAGACCACCATGCGCCCCAGCCGATTTCCACAGCCGTCTCTTCTCCGCACCCAATCATACCCACCCCCCATGCACACAAAGCTGTCGGTTGAGTTCTTCTCCTCCACCTTCCTCTCTTAGCACAAGCGTGCTCAGAGAATTGTGGCAACTGGCAGAACAGGAAAAGCAGCCAGGCTGGCAAGGACTCTGTGTGTGTGTGTGTGTGTGCGCGCACGCATGCATGTGCGCGCAGGTGTCTTTTACTGTCTGGGGTCTTCATGCACAAGGAAGGGGGGTATAGAAGGAGCTGATAGAATGGGGGAGAGAGGTTGACCAAGGTCTGGGACATAGAAACAACCTGAAACCCACACCGTTTGTGCGCACAAACACATGCACATGCCAAAAAGAGCCTGAGTGTCGGATCCGGCCAATAATGGCCCGGTCTCCTCTTCTCACAACCAAGCAGATGTACGTGGAAATCCACAAGCATAGCCAACGTCCATCGATAGCCCTCTCATCTAGCAAAAGAGGGGGGATTTTCGCCCGTTGGGTCTGGGCACCCCCAAGCAGCCTGGTCGAGCCCCCGCTCTTACTTACCGTATTTTTCGCCCTATAGGACGCACTTTTTCCCCTCCAAAAATGAAGGGGAAATGTGTGTGCGTCCTATGGGGCGAATGCAGGCTTTCACTGAAGCCTGGAGAGTGAGAGGGGTCGGTGCGCACCGACCCCTCTCGCTCTCCAGGCTTCAGGAGAGCCCCAGCGCCAGCCCCACAAGGTCGGGGGACAGAGGGAGGCGGAACGCCGCCATCCCGCTGTCTCCCGAAGTGGTTTGGAGGCCCGGCAAGCTCCGGGGACAAGCTCCGAGGACAGCTGGGAGGCGCAGCGCGTCTCCCCGCTGTCCCCGGACCTGATCTCAAGGCGGGCGGCGGGGAGAAGAGCGCTTCTCCCCGCTGCCTGCCCCACAAGCTCTGGGGACAGCTGGGAGGCGCAGCGCGTCTTCCTGCTGTCCCCGGACCTGGTCTGAAGGCGGACTGCGGGGAGAAGCGCTGGGCATAGTCAGCCAATTGGTGTTAAAGGAGGACAGAACTTTCTTTATGTATGCTACAACAGCAGCAAGAATACTTATTGCAAAGCATTGGAAGACACAAGATCTACCCACACTGGAAGAATGGCAGATGAAAATGATGGACTACATGGAATTGGCGGAAATGACTGGCAGAATCCGAGACCAGGGAGAAGAGTCGGTGGAAGAAGACTGGAAGAAATTTAAAGACTATTTACAGAAATATTGCAAAATTAATGAATGTTAGAATGATGTTGGATTGAAGTTAAGTGGTTTCTAGCTGTAATGGTAAAAGAATATGGAAAAATTGGATTTTCAATAGGTCAAAACTTAATGTTATAATATATTAAGATTAAAGATTAGGATAAAATAAGGAGGGAAAGTAATTGCTGAACTAATAAATTGAACTGGAATACAAAAAAGGGAGGCATGAGGAGGTTCGGGAAACAAGTAAATGAAAAATAAGGGATGAAAAGATGGAATTGTTTTTAATTGGTTTTTTTTTTGCATTTTGCATTTTTCTTTTCTCTATTTTTCTTTTCTTATGAATGTAATCTTTTTTTGAAACTTTAATAAATATCATTTAAAAAAAAATAATAATAAAATTTTTTTTCTTTATTTCCCCCCCAAAAAACTTGATGCGTCCTATGGGCCGGTGCGTCCTATGGTGCGAAAAATACGGTACTCAGATTTAAGGTGCTGGTTTTGACCTTTAAAGCCCTTCACGGTCTAGGACCCTCGTAGCTATGGGCCTGCCTCTCCCGGTCTGCCCCACGGAGGACCTTAAGGTCCATAAATGGCAACACCCTAGAGGTCCTGGGCCCTAAGGAAATCAGATTAGCCTCAACCCGAGCCAGGGCCTTTTCAGTGATGGCTCCGGCCTGGTGGAACGCTCTGCCTCATGAGACCAGGGCCCTGCAGGATCTGATTTCTTTCCGCAGGGCCTGTAAGACAGAGTTGTTCCGCCTGGCCTTTGGCTTGGAATCAACTTGATCCCCTCCCCCTCTTTCCTTTCTCCTCCTGTGTAGAGGCTGCATCCTAATGTGTTAATGTTGTATTTATTCTTCTTTTTAAAGTTGTATTTCAATCAACTTGTTTTTATTATTGGTTGTTAGCTGCCCTGAGCCCGGTGTTGGCTGGGGAGGGCGGGGTATAAATACAATTTATTATTATTATTGTATGGTTTTCCCAGTAGTGATGTATGGAAGTGAGAGCTGGACCATCAAGAAGGCTGATCGCCGAAGAATGGATGCTTTTGAATTCTGGTGCTGGAGGAGACTCTTGAGAGTCCCATGGACTGCAAGGAGATCAAACCTCTCCATTCTGAAGGAAATCAGCCCTGAGTGCTCACTGGAAGGACAGATCCTGAAGCTGAGGCTTCAAGACTTTGGCCACCTCATGAGCAGAGAAGACTCCCTGGAAAAGACCCTGATGTTGGGAAAGATGGAGGGCACAAGGAGAAGGAGACGATGAAGGACGAGATGGTGGGACAGTGTTCTCGAAGCTACCAGCATGAGTTTGAGCAAACTGCGGGAGGCAGTGGAAGACAGGAGTGCCTGGCATGCTCTGGTCCAGTGGGTCACGAAGAGGCGGACACCACTAAACAACATCAAAAACCACACACACACACAAGAGGAAACCTCTATCCCCGAGGTTGATATGCACATCAATCTCTGATTTTTGTCTTCTGGGTTTCTGGGGGTTTTCCTGTTGTTATTCTGTCTCTCACAGCTACAATAAACCTACCATTAATATTAATGGACTGGTCATTTCTTCGTCAGAAGGCAAACGGGCAAATTTAGCAGGAGATCAAATACGTTTCCCCCCTCACTGTACCATCCCCATCATCCCTGACCACTGGTCCTGCTAGCTAGGGGTGATGGGAGTTGTAGTCCAATAGGAGCTGGAGACCCAAGTTTGGGAAGCCCTGGATCCTGGGATCCTTCCTTTGGAACGCAGCAACAATTATTATTATTATTATTATTATTATTATTATTATTACTACTATGGCCTTTCAGGTTCCTGCCCTCTGCACTGCCAAACACGGAAGGCCTTGCACACACAAACCCCGGGTTCCTCCGCAGCTCAGCCTTCCTCCAGGCACCAAAGGGTGAAGCGGAAACGGCAGCCGCTCCCTTAATCCAAACAGGCAGCGCCAGGCCTGGGCCACGATTCCTGCCTCTGGGCTGCAGGCGAGTTGTGGCACAGCCCAGACTCTGCGGGAGCAGGAATGGGGAGCGGGCGAGAGGCAGGGAGAAAACAGGCAGCCTGCAACTGGAGAAGACCAGAACAAATCGGCTCAAGGAAACTGAAGGAGGTCCTTTCTTGGAAGGCGAACTCAGATGAGACTTTGCAACAAGTACTTTAGACCTAAGCAGGGCTGGGGAGGTGGCGCTGCAATGCCAACATGGCAAGGGAGACAGGCAGGAGTGCAGCTTAGGAAACAGAGTGTGTGCATAAAATAAATAATAATAATATTAATATATTTTATTTATACCCCGCCCTCCCCAGCCAAGACTGGGCTCAGGGCGGCTAACACCAGGTATAAAAACAATTGATTAAAATACAACTTAAAAACAAGATTAAAATGCAGCCTCATTTCAGCAGAAACTCAAAAACCTCTTTGGGGGATGAAAACGTCAAGTCTTCACCAAGGCTAAGTTTCCAGACTGGTCCTACGTGGGCCAGAAAAAAGCCAGGGAAGTCCCCAGATAGGGGTTCCATCACAGAAGGAGAAAGGAAAGAGGGGGAGGGGATCAAGTTGATTCCAAGCCAAAGGCCCTGCGGAAAGAAATCAGATCCTGCAGGGCCCTGGTCTCATGAGGCAGAGCGTTCCACCAGGCCGGAGCCATCACTGAAAAGGCCCTGGCTCTGCGTGAGGCTAATCTGACTTCCTTAGGTCCCGGGACCTCTAGGGTGTTGCTATTTATGGACCTTAAGGTCCTCCGTGGGGCAGACTGGGAGAGGCGGTCCATAGGTATGTGGGTCCTAGGAAGGTTTCTTTTAATCTTTGCAGATCAAGGATGTGCTCAGCTGGGCGGAGGGAGGGCAAGACCTGCCTACACCGAGAGGCAGTGTGGTGCAATGGTTAGAGTGTTAGGCTAGGACCTGGGAGCCCCGGGTTCGAATCCTCCACTCGGCCATGAAGCTCAGCGGCTGACGTTGAGGGGCAGCCACTGCCTCTCAGCCTAACCTACCTCTCAGGACTGTTGTGGGGATTAAATGAGGACTAGGAGTTTGATGCAGGTGGTGCTGTTGTGTAAACCACAGAGCCTAGGACTTGCTGATCAGAAGGTTGGCGGTTCGAATCCCCGTGACAGGGTGAGCTCCCGTTGCTCTGTCCCTGCTCCTGCCAACCTAGCAGTTCGAAAGCACGTCAAAGTGCAAGTAGATAAATAGGTACCACTCGGGCGGGAAGGTAAACGGCGTTTCCGTGCACTGCTCTGGTTTGCCAGAAGCGGCTTAGTCCTGCTGGCCACATGACCCGGAAAAACTGTCTGTGGACAAACACCGGCTCTCTCGGCCAATAAAGCGAGATGAGCACCACAACCCCAGAGTCGTTTGCGACTGAACTTAACAATCAGGGGTACTTTTACCTTTTTAAGGAGTTTTTTTAGGGCCTTCTCGGCAGTGGCACCCGCCCTGTGGAACGCCCTCCCACCAGATGTCAAAGAGAAAAACAACTACCAAACTTTTAGAAGACATCTGAAGGCAGCCCTGTTTAGGGAAGCTTTGAATGTTTAAGAGGTTATTGTATTTAGTGTTCTGTTGGAAGCCGCCCAGAGTGGCTGGGGAAACCCAACCAGATGGGCGGGGTATAAATTATTATTATCACAGAATCACAGAGTTGGAAGGAAACCTGACTCTCTGCAATGGAGGACACATGCAGCCGTCCTATACGGGGATCGAACCTGCAACCTTGTTGGGAGACACCCGGGTTCAAATCCTCCCCTGGGAGACCTTGGGGCCAGCCACTGCCTCTCAGCCTAAGCCCTACCTCGCAAGGTTGTTGTGAAGATGAAACAGGGAGTAGGGGGAGCGCTTTGCACCCCCTGGAGCTCCTGGGAGAAAAAGGGGGGATAAATCAGCAATAAATGAATCACAGGCAGGCAACGTCCTTCTGGTTTCAAGCCGAGAGCGACGGGGGGTGGGGGTGGAGAGGGGCCCGATCCACCTCATCCTCCCCCCTCCCAGGTTCTGTTGAGCAACAACTTCAGCCCATCATGCGCCTCCACCTCACGTCCGGCTCTTGCAAGCCACAGGTCCCTTCACAATCTCGCCACAGCCGCAGTGACGCAAGGTACACTTCCGAGACTACCTCGCTTTTAAGGCAAAGACCCAAACCACCCGGAGGAGGGTTGCGCAAGGCCGGAGAAGCCCCGAAGTGTGGCTCTGCAACTGCTGCCAGCCAGAGCCTGCACTGGCAAGGCAGAAACTGGGTCCCTGCAATGCCACCCGCGGGCGCCGGGGAGCAGGTGGATGGGTGCGTCGTTTGAGATGGGCATATATCTAGGTGCAGAGGAAGCTGGAGGAGACTTGGTCAGCCTAGGTCAGTGTTGCATGCACTGGCCGGCAGGGGCTTCCCAAGGTTCAGACAGCGGGCATTACCAGGGGATGCCAGGGGTTTCCTGCCTGCCAGTGCTCAACCTCCGTCTAAGTAAGGTGCCAGTCCTCATGGAGTTTAGCACAGGGCTGTTTTGAACAGGAAGCTACCAACTCAGACCTAGCTCAGGACTGCCTACACTGGCTGGCAGCTCCAGGAGACACATTCAGGGATTGAACCTGGGACCTTCTGCACGCCAAGCAAGGGCTCTGCCAGCCCTTGGAAGGTGGCAATGGACCGTCAAAAATTCCAGGTGGGTCTGAAGTCAAGGCAGTGCGGTGTAGTGGTTAGAGTGCGTCAGACCAGGACCTCGAGAGACCAGGGTTTGAATCCTCACTCAGGCATGCTGCTTGCGGGTTCAGTTTGATGTATTATAGTATTTTAATATTTTTTTGGAAGCCATCCAGAGTGGCTGGGGAAGCCCAGCCAGATGGGTGGGGTATAAATAATAAATTATTATTATTATTATTATTATTATTATTATTATTATTATCCCTCAGCCTAACCTACCTTGCAGGGTTGGTGCAGGGATTAAATGAGGAGGAGGAGAAGAATCAGGTACTCTACCCTGAGCAACTTGCAGAAAAGGGTGCGATATAAATGCCAAAAATATAAATAAAATCCAATTCAGCCCTGCATACACAGACACACACGCGTACGTTTTTGCAATGGCCAATGTTTCTCAGAATCGGCTTGGGAAACCGTGGCTCAGCAGTACCCAGAATCCTTTGAGATGCATCTAATCGCATGTTGCTGTTGAAACCGCTGCGACATTTTCTCTCTATCCCGTCCTCTCTCTCCCCAAGCCGTCACATTTTTCCCTTTGCAAAACGTTTGTTTGCATTCTGGGGTCAGGCTGCAGGCCCCAGAGCAAAGGTCTCTCTCTTCCTCTCTCTCTCCAGCTCACAAATGGAGGAACATTTGCTGCGAGAGGAAGGTTTTGTGAAATGTGGAACTTGCTCGGCCAAGTATCCCAAGACACAAAAATTACAGCATAAATAAACCACCTTCCCTTTCATAACCTCGTGGGGGGGGGGGGGCGAGAGAAAGAGGAAGACCTGCAAACACGACTCCAGAGTCTTGCTGCTTGCAAGCCAGCTCAAGTAGTTCCCTCGCTTCCTTCTGCCTCAGTTTCCCCTCTACGTAAGAGACACCTTAGCTTCTTCTTACAGACCCCTCCAGGGCAAACAGGTGGAGAGTCTTATCAAGTTAAGCCCAGCACTTCAAAAGGTAGTTGTGATGCCTAGTGGGGGGGAGAGGCTGCAAACAGGCCTTCTGCACTCCAATGCAGCTGCCCAGCAGGGTCTGGGCGTATAAGATTTAGGATGCTGCCTGAGTTCAGCTCAGTGTTGTCTACTCTGACCGGCAGCTCTCCAGGGTTACAGGTGAAGGACACCCCCAACCCTACACCTTGGAGATCCTGCCAGCAGGGAAGGAACCTGGAGCCTTCTGCATGCCAAGCAAGTGTCCTACCCTGAGATATGGCCCAGGAACTGCAAATGCCAGGCCAGCGGGGGCCAACTGAGAGTGCTGAAACTTGGGCATAAACCCCCATGCCAAGGCCGCCTCCCCAAGCAGCTATAACCTCTGGTGGCTCCTGTCCCAAGGTGAAAGACTTCTGGGAAAAGATTTATAATGAATTGAAAAAAAATGTTGAAATATACATTTATAAAGAAACCAGAGGCCTTTCTTCTTGGAATAACAGGTTTGGAATTGCCCAAGAAAGATGTTAAATTATTTTTGTATGCCACAACTGCTGCTTGTATTTTGTTAGCTAAAAAGTGGAAAACCCAAGAATTGCCAACAATAGAAGAATGGCAGATGAAGATGATGGATTTTTCGGAGCTAGCCGACCTGACCGGAAGAGTCCGCGACCAGAAGGAGGAGGAGTATCAGGAAGAATGGAATAAATTTAATGATTATTTAGTTAAATTTGTTAAGTTGAATTAACTGGAGATAGCTTGCAGATACTTAATGGGCTTAAGATTTTATTTATGTTAAGTGATGAAGTAATAATGTTTAATCCTATAAGGTGAAGATTTAAGGATGTTAAAGTTTAAGTTAAATTTCATAAAAATTGGGATTTGGAAAACCGTTAAACGGACATGCAATGAAATTCAACCAAGGGGAAGCGAGGAAGTCACTTAACAAAGTTAATAACTGTAATTTTCAATAAGGCTATGATCTCTGTTTGTTTTGTGTGTTTGTTTGTTTTTTATAATATTGTGAAAATCAATAAAAAAATTTGGGGGAAAAATATACGGTAACCTCTGGGGGCTCAACTCAAACCCGGCTGTCCGAACCAAAACATGCCAGAGGTAGAGGCAGCGAGGCTTTTGAATCCCAGTTCCTGGAAACCTCAAGGGCTGCTTGCAGGTTTTCCCTGGCCCCTAGGAGAACAGGATGCTGACCCCTGTCCTGATCCAGCAGCCCAGCTCTTCTAATGGAGCCTCCAGATCCAGGGGCAGTCTATCTGCATTCCTAGGTTCGACGGGGTATTTGGCCTCTTCAAGAAAAGGAGACTGCTCCTTTTAGGTTCAGAGGGTAAACAAGACACCCAGCTTTCCTATTTCGGGAAAACAGAGCGAGGTAAGTGGGGGGGGCAGTGCGGGAAACAGGCTGCCCCCCCCTTTACTCTGGCAGTGACTGAAAGAATAAGAATTGGCACCTGGAACGGCCAACCGGAAAAGAGGCGGAAGGAGGGAGGGCGGGAGAGCAAAAAGCAGCCTTTGCCCATATAAGGTAGACTTGAAGGACAGGCCGGATAATGTGGGAATGCAAGGCGGTTGGAGGCGGGGAGGGGCACAGAGACATCCTGTGCCGTCCCCCCCCCCCATCAGCAACCCTGCCTAAGCTAGGACAAGCACCCCCAGCCCAGCTCAAAACATCCTGACATCATCCATCGCCTCCATTCTCTCCCCAAAGCAACCAGCTTCCCCATAGGTATTCACAAAGGAGGTTTATTTTTTTGCTAGAGAGGGACTTTTCCTTGCCTCCCCCCATCCCAACACAGACACACTCCCCAAATTCCAGACTTATGAGCTGGAAGCATTGCAAACTGATGGGGGGGTGGCTGACTTAAATTTGGGGCAGGGGGGGTCCAGAAAAGAGCAACAGACAAGCAGGTACGGTTCGACTCAGGATTGCTTTCCGTGTTACTTTCTCCAACTTGGTTAAAAACAAAAAAGTAGTGGGGTTTTTTCGGGAGGGGGGTGGGAATTGGCAGAGCTGCTCAGCCTTTGTTTTCTGCAGAGGAACAAGAGCGGCTCGGGGTTGGGGGGGCCTGGAAAAAGACATTTCCACGTATAATGGGTGTGTGTGTGCATTTTGGACGGCGTTCAAAGTCGTTTGGAATTAGCCGTGTAAACATCCCCCCCTCCCCGAACGCTGATCATGCACAAGAAACTGTCAGCTCACTCCCAGTTGGAGAGGGTGGCCCTAGATGGGGGAAGAAGTGACCCCCCCCCCAAAAAACCCCAATGATATTCCCTCCATTGTGCACTCCTGTCATTGATATATATGGGATTTTCCCCTTTCAGAAATCTTAATGTGTTGCACACAAGACTTTGCCCCTTGTGTGCCACCCCAGGAATTTTTTTTCCTGCTGCCCCCCCCCCCAATTTAGGCAGAGGGTGGCAAAGTGGGGAGCAGGGAGCTTTCAACCCTTCCAATTGGGACAGGGAGAGTCCCTTATCCTGAAAGTCAAAGCCCTTTCCTAGAGCTCAGAAGAGCATCTTTAGTGTCGCACCCCCCCAAAAAAAATTCAGTCGCACCTGGGTTTATCTGCCTGTTTCACTTCGACTTTCTTAGCGGGTTCCGGGGCGGGAGATTTCTTTCCCAGCGTGATCCTGCCAAAGGGAAGCACATTCCTGGTCTCTGGGGGGGGCTAGAAGCCCAGAGAGACCCCCAGGAGAGGGGGGGGTTGAGGGTGGTCTTCAGCCCCCTCCCAGCCAGGCCTTTTCGGACAGTGCATAAGGCGGCCCCAGAAGGACGTCGTTTCCAGGCCTGCAACTGCAGGTCCAGGAGAAAAATTAAATAGCTTTGCCCCCCACCCCCACCCCAAAAATGCATCTTGCAAAGGGCAGAAGTGGGGGGCAAACCAGCCCCCCACTCTGCGCCCTGCCATTGCTAACTCCCTGCCCCCCACCCTGACCCAAATACTCATCCGCACTTGAGTTGAGTCGAATGGTGTTGGTCTTTGGCCTTGGGGGGGTCAGGAGCCTTGCTGGAAACGGAGAAAGTCAAAGGTCACAGAATCGTGGGGTGGGGAGGGAACCCCAGGGGTCATCCATCCCAACCCCTGGTGGAAAACCTCTATTGGTGGGGAAATCGCCACCATCCGAAGCCAAGGTCTCCCAACGGAAACCAGAAGGCCCCCCGATTCCAGGAATCAGTCTGGAAAGGAGTGGGGGTGTGTGTTTAAAACCATTCCTAAGAGTCAGAAACCAGAGGCCTTTCTAGGTGGAATAATAGGAATGGAATTGCCCCCCAAAAGACTATTTTTGTATGCCACCACAGCGGCAAGACTGCCGTTAGCTAAAAATTGGAATTCCCAAGAAATTCCAGTGGTGGAAGAATAGCAGGTGAAGATGTTGGACTTTTTGGAGCTAGCTGACCTGACTGGAAGAATCCGCGACCAGAAAGAAGACGGGAAGAAATTTAAGGACTATTTAGCTAAATATTGCAATATAAATAATTAGAAGTCACTTGAAAAGGACCAAACAGGCCGTGGATTAAAATAAGATCCAATTGTAAGTAAGTTGGATTTAGAATATTAAGAAAGAGAAGAAGATAGTTAATTGTTGGAAATAATTTTAGTTGAAGAATGATATTGGAGAACTGTTATATGGAGATACAATGAAATTCAGAAGGGAAGGATTCGAGGAAGTCAATTAACAATGTAAGATAATTTGGGTTTTTCAAGTGATAGGTTTTTAAATTTTTCTTGCTTTTTTTTTTTTAGTATTGTAATGTGTTTTCTCTTGTGCGTTTTCTTTTTTTCTATGTTATATTTATTATAATTGTGAAAAACTTAATAAATTTTTTTGGGGGAAAAATAAAAGAAAACTATTCCTAAGAGTCAAATTGGGGAGGGGGGGGGGCAATTTTCAGGTTCCAGCCAGGGGCAGGTCCAAAACTTCCAAGATTTTTTTTTTTGGGGGGGGGGGGGGAGATTGCTTCCATCCCTAAGAAACACAAGGTTCTTGGGTACCACTTCTCAAAGGCCTCTGCAGGTTTTGTGAGATAAGGGTGGGCACCCCAGGATAAGGAAGTTTTTTTGGGGGGCTACATGTACCCCACACGGGCCCAATCCATCCACACCTGAGCGTTGTGCCATGCTTCTCTACTTTGGGCTTAGACGGCGGGTCAGGAGCCGGAGATCTGCCAGAGAGCAAAAAAACCCCACTCAGGTTGCCTATGGCGAACGGAGGGGGAAGCAAGGCGACCAGGGGTGGTCCCTGCCCCCAAAGTGCTGGGAGCAGCCAAAAGCCAGGCCTTGAGGCTAAGGGGACAGGATGTGCCTGGATCTTGTCTGTGCTCGCCCCTGGAGAGCATCAGTAAGGAGGTGAAGTGTGTGTGGGGGGGTGTTCCAGAGGCTTGTCGTCCCCCCCCCCAAAAAAAACCCTCCTCTTCTTCCTCCTCCTCCCCTGAGCAGCCTTGTATTTGAGACGGCTGAGTCACTTCCTGAAAGGCGCGCAGCTTTTCCGGCCTTTTCCAGCTCAGGACAATTTGGGAAAAGGGGGGGGGGTGGAGGGCCAGCAAGACCTAGGACTCTTGGGGGGGGGGGCAAGAAACACCTCCCTCCCTAAAAAAACAGAACTGACAGAATATCAGGGCTGACCTTGGATGAGAAGGTGGAGGAGAGGGAAAAGGGACAACTGGTCACGGCGGGGGGGGGGGCAAGATGGGGTGGGGGAGAAGGGGCTGCAATCCATGTCGGAGTTTCATGTTTAGCCGGGGGGGGGGGGCAGGGAGAGCATGGCGGCATTTCCACAGGGCAGAATACGACCAACGCTTGCAACTCCAGCCCCCTCCCCTACACCCGGGAGGCCAGCAGAGCAGAGGGCCCAATCCGAGGGGGGGGAACGGCGCGAAACAACCTTCCGAAGCGGCCCATGGTGTCCGACGTGGTGCCCCCGCCACGCCCGGCCCGGGTGCAGGTCTCTCTGTCTCTCCCACCAGCCCTTACGATGCCTGGAAGACGTGTGAATCGGAACTCAGTGCCGCGTCACAATGCAGCGGCGCCCGGAACCTGCGACCCCCCCAAGAGGATTCCGGCGCTGGGGGGCCCAGGGACTTGGGGTGAGGCCAGGCGGTTGAGACAGCTCAGGATTAGACCATTGGCCCATCTAGCCAACCCTCACAGTGGCCAAATACCCCAAAGAACCTAGGAATATAGATAGACTGCCCCTGGAGCTGGAGGTTCCATAAGAACCCGAGAAGATTCCCACGGGAAGCATGCAATCCGGGCACGGGTAGTAGCCATTGAATATGCCCAGTCCGAGGTTGGTGGCCACCACCCACCCCAGCCTCCTGTGGCAGCGAGTTCCACAGGTTAACTCTTAGCAGCAGAGGCAGAAGTCCTTTCTTTGCCCTGTGGTGGGGCAACACCCTGGCCCTTAGCTTGCAGAACAAGGCGTCCAGGGGCTCGCTGTTCTGGCTGGCTCATCCCTCGTGTTTGGGGCTGGCAGCATTTAGTCATCTGAGGAATGAGGAAAATGGGGCTTAGCAACCCGGCGGATGAAGCAAAATGAAGTCATCCTTTTAAATGCCGAATCTTAACCTCCCAGGTCCCCTATGAACGGCGCAGCTGCATCAGGAAAGAACGCCCCAGGATCCTGCTTCCGACAGAGGACAGCCAAGGTGCTTCTGGAAGCTCCCAAGCAGAGCACGCACACACAAACACACTTCTGCTACTTCTGTCCTCCGTCCCCAGTACATCAAATTTAGAGGTAGACACTCTCTGAACACGGAGGCTCCATTATCAGTCAATTCAGGGTCTTTGTTCCTGGCTGATGGACCAAACCACCCCCATGAATTTCTCTAATCTCTCTCTCTCTCACAAGAAACATTTTTACTTGGCATTGTAGGAGAGGATATTAACAGACAGGACTAGAAATTGTTTCTTTACGCAACAACAGCAGCAAGAATATGATTGGCACAAAAATGGAAGCAAGAAGAATTGTCAAAGAAGAATGGCAAATGAAATTAACGGACTCTGCAGAATTAGATAAATTAATAGGAAGGATTCGAAACCTGCGGGATCAGAGATTCTTAGAGGACTGGAGTAAATATCTGAACTATTTGGAAAGCAATTGTGAGGAACAGATTACGCTAGTAGGATGGCAAGAACTTCTGTAAGGAGGACTTTGTGAAATATTGCAAGGAAGACTTTGAAAAGAATTATTAGTTAAGGGCAATTAAAAGTAATAGAGAAATTAAGAAATGCAGAACAAGTGATAAAGAACGGAAAATCTTTAGAGGTTGTTGATGGAAGTCTAAAATATTGTATAGGATAAGAAGTTATGTTAAATGATTGTTGGTATTTATATGTTAAAAAATTATTTCACCAAAAGTTCATTTCGGAAGCTGCCTCTCCCCTTCCCACCCCAAACAATGGAGCATCTTTCTCCTGGAGATGAAATGGGACCTTTTCTCGGAGGAGTTCAAAGTATTACCATTGCACTCATTTCAGTGGTTAAGGCTAAGTAGCCTTTAAAAAGAGGAAGGTGGCAGAAGGGATCCCAAAGGGCATCGAGTCCAACCCCCGGGCAATGCACGGTCCCCCATCCAATTTGAAACCCAAGCGGACCCTGCTTAGCTTCGCAAACGTGCTAGCCGTTTTCTTGCTGCGCCACCAGGAGGAGGAGCAGTTGAGGAGTCGTCAGCTGCGATTCCTGCATTGCAGCGGGTTGGGCTGGATGACCTTCGGGGGACCCCTCCCAATTTTACGATAGCGTGAATTTGCCTTTTGAAAGGCTTGGCTTTAACTGGCATCTCACTGGGTATATGTGTGAGCCCACCTGGTGCTCTCAAACCCCCCAAAAAAGTTCTGTGCCAGCCAGGGCTGATGGGAGTTGTAGTCCAACAAGATTGGAGGGCACCAGATTGCCTTCAAGGCATAGGCCACAACTCCCTGGGAGCCCAAGGGTTAACATCCACTGGGCCTGCTCTTCCTCTTCCCAGTCGGTCCATGTACACAGTGGAAAAGGCAAATGGGTTAGGCTGCTTCCTGCTCTTTAGGTAATCAGCCTGGACTAATTAAATCGCCTGCAACATCTCAGACCCACAGTCAGTACTAAGCAACTCAGTCAAGTAACTGCAAAGCTCAGGGGTCTCTCTGGACTCCTGCCTGGGTTGCCCATTTTACAGATTGGGAAAGTTAAGGCAGAAAGGGGGAAAGGCTGGATCTCAAACGAGACATGGCAGGCAAACACATGTGAGCACATAGACAGGTTTTTTTGTTCCTTGTTAAAGTGAAGAAATGAAAATGCGGTTGGCACTGTGATCTAAACCACTGGGCCTAGGGCTTGCCAATCAGAAGGTCGGTGATTCGAATCCCCGTGACGGGGTGAGCTCCCGTTGCTCGGTCCCTGCTCCTGCCAACCTAGCAGTTCGAAAGCACGTCAAAGTGCAAGTAGATAAATAGGTACCGCTCCGGCGGGAAGGTAAACGGCGTTTCCGTGCGCTGCTCTGGTTCTCCAGAAGCGGCTTAGTCATGCTGGCCACATGACCCGGAAGCTGTAGTCCGGCTCCCTCGGCCAGTAAAGCGAGATGAGCGCCGCAACCGCAGAGTCGTTCGCGACTGGACTTAACGGTCAGGGGTCCTTTACCTTTTTTGTGAAAAATGCTGCTGCCTTTTGGGTCAGAAACCTTGCAAGGCCAGATGCCAGCCTGGTGTAGTGGTTAGAGCATCCAACTAGGACCTGGGAGAGACCAAGGTTCAAATCCCACCCTCCACTCATCCATGACACTCACTGGGTGCGACTTTGGAAACCAGTCATAACATCATAGAAATGGAACGGACCTTGAAGGCTACTGGACTACTGCCATGCGCTCGATGTGGGGCTACGTTTGAAGGTGACCTGGAAACTACAACTACTCCAGAATGCGGCAGCTAGACTGGTGACTGGGAGCGGCCACCGGGACCACATAACACCGGTCCTGAGAGATCTGCATTGGCACCCAGTGTGTTTCCGAGCACAATTCAAAGTGTTGGTGCTGACCTTGAAAGCCCTAAACGGCCTCAAAGGCCCAGAATACCTGAAGGAGCATCTCCACCCCCATCGTTCTACCCGGACACTGAGGTCCAGTGCCGAGGGCCTTCTGGCAGTTCCCTCCCTGCAAGAAGCCAAGTTACAGGGAACCAGGCAGAGGGCCTTCTCGGTAGTGGCACCCGCCCTGTGCAACGCCCTCCCACCAGACGTCAAAGAGAAAAACAACTATTTTACTTTTAAAAGACAACTGAAGGCAGCCCTATTTAGGGAAACTGTTAATGTTTGATGCAATACCGTATTTTAATATTGTGTTGGAAGCCGCCCAGTGTGGCTGGGGAGCCCAGCCAGATGGGCGGGGGTATAAATAATAACAAAATTTATTATTATTATTATTATTAAGTACTACCCAACTTCCTGTCGGCCTGGTCTACCTCACAGGGTTGCTGTGGGGGATTAAATGAGGCAGGCTTTAGGAAAAGCATCTCCCCAAGTCCTTCACATGAGACTTCAACGATTCAGTCCTTGCAATGCAAAACTTTGAGCTTAGTAGCTGGCTGAGCAGGGGGTTGGACTAGATGACCTTGGGGGGTCCCAGCTCTACAGTTCCATGTTTCTAAGCATCTTCGTTTCCCAAAGTGGCTGAGGGAGGGTTTTCGGGGGGGCATGCAACATAACCCCCCCTTCACTCCCAGACAGCTGGAAGCCTCTCAGCTGTTGAAAGATACCAGAAAGAGACCCCAAGTAGCAGACATTTGGGTGGTGGTGGGGGGGAGAGAAAATAAAATCACCAGTTGCTGCAGCTGCTGAAACTTCTCAGGCCTCCCCCACAGCTCTAACCACTAGGCGCTGCATGAAGACGCAAATAAAACCCTGGCCGGCTGCTGAAATCTGCTTCTCCTACCCACAGCTTTCAGTGCTGACGTGGTCTCCAGACGTGGAAGCGAGAAAAGCTGTGGGTTTTCAAGGGGTCGGGAAGGTGGGGGTTGTTTCTCCACAGCCGCAAGTGCAGCAACGCCCCCCCCCCCCGCACTGCCATGACCCAGACCCTACAGAAAACTCAAGGGGTGGCTGAGAGCTCTGGGAGTCAGGATTGCTGGAGGGCTCTTTTGCACCTTGCAAAATGCAAAATAAAGGCTATGCAAATGAGAGGGACAAAAGGGCCTTTTGTGGTTTTGTTAGAAGAGGGGAGAGGTGGATTCGATGAGGTCCTGGAACTCAAGGATCCTCTAGTTCCCCCCCCCCCCCCAAAAATGCAAGGTCATCGGTGCCAGGAAACTCTAATTGCTGGTGTGCTGCGAACAACCTCGATAATCCTGTCTGCTGAGAAAGGAATAAAAACCTCCCTCCCCTGTGCTAACCGCAAGGATGGAGGTCGACAGCCATTGATGGGAGCTGGGGAGATCCGGGTTCGAATCCCCGCTCAGCTGGGTGTGTGACTTTGGTTCAGTCACAGATTCTCAGCCTAGTCTACTCCGCAGGGTCGTTGTGAGGACAAAGTGAGGCGGACACAAGAAGAAAGAGGCAGGAGAGGGGGGAATATATAAATGTAATCGTCAAAGATTTCTCAGTATATACCCGAGAGTCAACGAACGCAGATCTGAAACCGTTCCACATCACGCAACTTCTCTGCGAAATCAAGTTCCTGCCCAGAAGTTTGCAAGACACTCAGTTCAACCCCAGCAGTGAAGGGGAACGAAGTCTCAGGTCAGCTACTCTTAACACAGACCTCCCCGTTGGGCTGTTTCGGACTACAACTCCCATCAGTCCTAGCATATCAGCCAGGGATGATGGGAATTGTAGTCCAGAACATCTGGAGACGGCACTAGGTTGCTGCACGGTCAGGGAAAAAACAACGCTGTCCAGGGTTGTAAAGACTGCGGAGAGAATAATTGGGTGCACTCTTCCCACCTTGGATCAAATCTACGCTTCCAGGTGCCATAAGAAAGCTGCAGAGATAGCGCAGGATAGTGCGCACCCCGGAAATGATCTCTTTCAGCTTCTGCCTTCTGGAAGAAGGTCCAGGGTTTTAAAGACCAGGACTAGCCGCCTGAGAAACAGTTTCTACCCAAATGCAATTCTGGTTCTAAACGCAGCATAAGGAGTCTCTATAGTATATTGTATTTTAAAATGGGGTTTCAGAGTTTGTAGGGGGCTAACCAGGTTGGGATAGAAGGCTTGTTGGTTTTTGAATGTCTTGTGTAGATTTTTCACTTTCGTTGTTCTGTATGGGACAATGACAATGAAGATTATCGTATCGTATCATTGAGGAATTCTGTGTTTAAAATGTATTATTGAAAGACAGAGTTATTTAGCCTAAAGAAGGCAGGCATGGGGTGGCAGAGAATGAAGTTTTAGAGCCATCAGAATAAATGAACGTGGCTGAGTCAGGTCCATCGATTTCGAAAGGTCTATTCTGAGTAAAGCTAAGAGCTGGAAGGGACCCCCCAAAGGCCATCTAGTCCAACCCAGTGCAATAATGCAGGAATCGCAGCTATAAAGAATCGAAGGGAAGTCCCACCTCGATAACCTTTCAGAGCTGTTTGAGCGTGTCGTCAAGAGCGGAGACAGGAACCACCCAGCGGCAGACATGGCAAGCTTGGAGTTCCCCCAAAAAGAGCTTTTGACAAAGTCCTACACACCAAAGGCTCTCGAGGGAACTTAATCATGGAATAAGGAGACAATTCTCTAGTGACTCAAAGTCGTCTCACCCTCCGAGGAGTCAACCAAGGAAATGAATGGGCGGCCGTTTCAGAACATGCAGCGCACGACTGACCTCAAATGCCGCGAGACGCAGATTTAAAAAGGGATTGGACCCATGTTTGCAGCCCACTCTTAGCCAGAGCAGCAAAGTGGAGCCTCCATCAACAGCAGCAGCCTACATGGAAACACCGGCTGCCAGGATGTTCAGCTTTCGGCTACTAGAGATAACTGGATGACCGCCACTGGAAACATGTCTGGAGGCCGGACTGGAGGCCAGTCATTCACTCCTGAGATAACCAGAAACACAGGTCAGGGGTCACAGTCCCCATTTTTTAAAGAAAAGGCAGCATATAAGACGATCTGGCCAATACTTTAGGGGTTCCTCCGGCGCTACTGATGAGGGAATCTGCACCCCACTGTCGACATAATACGGCGTTTTATGGCTTAAGTGAGGGCAGCAGGTCTCTGGCCTCAGGGCGCTTACAGTCTTAAAATTAATTTAGCCTCCTCTGTGTACTTTGAGACACCCAGAGCTCCCCATTTAAATGAGCACTCAGTGTAACCTCCCCAAATGAATGGACCTAGCTTAGCCACGTCCATCCATTTCAATGGGTATACCCCGGGGGAAGGGACGCAGGTGGCGCTGTGGGTTAAACCACAGAGCCTAGGACTTGCTGATCAGAAGGTCGGTCGAATCCCCGTGATGGGGTGAGCTCCCTTTGCTCGGTCCCTGCTCCTGCCAACCTAGCAGTTCGAAAGCACGTCAAAGTGTAAGTAGATAAATAGGTACCGCTCCGGCGGGAAGGTAAACGGCATTTCCATGTGCTGCTCTGGTTCGCCAGAAGCGGCTTAGTCATGCTGGCCACAATAGCTGTACGCCAGCTCCCTCAGCCAAAAAAGCGAGATGAGCGCCGCAACCCCAGAGTCGGTCACGACTGGACCTAATGGTCAGGGGTCCCTTTACCTTTACCTTACCCCGGGGAAAACCTAGCCAACAACCACCCACAACTCCCTTCCTTCCCATCCCAGGGAAACCTCAATGCCAGAGGGATCCTTGTCTCCAGATTGCGCAAAACACCAGACAGGACTTTTCTCCGAAATCCTCCAAGTATGTCCTACTACACCAGCCGTTTCCAAAATTCTGGGGGTCACACACCGCCCGCTTGGTCCCATAAACTCACCCCCAGCATTCTATAAAAGGCATTATTCAGAATAGCGGTTCGCACTGCCCGTGATGGAAGAGAATAATAAAATAAAACTCAAAGGAGTGAACGGCACATTTATTCAGAACCCAAATAAAACTATTTAGTTTGATTCATCTGAACCAAGTTCTTGGGCTTGCTCCCGGGACACCAGCTTTTCAAAGTCTGGTGGTCATTTGCACCTCCAGCGACACCCCCCAACAAGGAATCCTGCCCACCCCCACTTTGGGACACCCCCCAAGTACTACACGCTCCCTTTCTCTGCATTTCCTCCTACTGAGACCAAGAACTCTGCGAGCCCTTCAAGGCTGACTAATTCGGTGGTGATGCTGATGAGGGCAGCCCAGGCAGCGATAAATCTTGTCAGCCTTTAAGGCGTCACTGCACTCCATGTCTCTTGCAGCGAAGATGACAAACTGACCTCTTCCGGGTTGCTTAACCTGCAAAACACACCCTGCCTCCCCCACAACCCCACCTCAACTTTTCCTTCTTGTATTGTAAGGCTGCAGGCAGGGGCTGCCCTTTTAAAAAATAAAAATAAAAAATTGCAGTACAGCAACTAGAGTTTGGCTTATAGATAAAGCATATCATAGGGCCCTGTGCTTGATCTGAATCTACTTCCCCTACAGTTCACTTCCTTTTGCTTTTAGGGGATCGGGGCCACAGAAACAGCTTTCCGCTGGATTAAGGAGGCGAGGGGAGAACGGCATTTACACCCCAGCTTTTTCTTCAAGGAACTCAAGATATGGTCGGCCAACCTTCTCATTTCACTCCCACAACAACCCTGCGAGGTACATCAGGCTAGGAGGCAGTGAATGGACCCCCCCCAAGGTGACACTCAGTGGCCGAGTGGGGGTTCGAACCCTGGTCTGACACGCCAACGCCAGTGTTTCCCCAAACTGGAGTCTCCAGCTGTTTTGGGACTACAATTCCCATCATCCCACTAGCTAGCTAGGGATGATGGGAGTTGTAGTCTACTGCTCTAACCACTACGCCACACTGCCTCTTCCCTTGGTTTGGAACGGCTGGTACTTTCCAACTCTGCAGTTCTATAATTCTATAATCTGGTGACTCGGGGATGGGAGCCGGGGAGGAATCTCTGAAAACTGCCGACTCAGGATGAACTCCTGCAGGCCTACTGACCGCCAGCGCCTCCTCGTCAGCCTAATTTCTGAAGGAGGGGGGCTGCCTGTCTCTCTCCCCTCTTGACCTCAGAACCCTCCCCGTTAGGCTCAGAAATTATCACACTATGTCAACGAAGCAGGGGGAAACACTCTGCACGTGCTCAAAAGCACTACCTCGCAAGTCCCAGGACGCAGAAAATGAGGTGGGAGGGCTTAAGACCTACCTGAGACTTAAGATTTAAGATTTGGGGGCAGCTTGAGCCCGGACAACCTTCAGATAAACTGCCTTGAAATAGGTTTACAATTCCAAACCTGTATTCACTGAGAGAGACGTGGAGGTAGGTGGGGGTCTTTGGTGTGTCCCCCCTCAACTTGAGGAAAGGAGCAAAGGGGGCACAACGGGGGCAGGATCAGGGCCAGGATTGCAAGGGGAAGAGAGATTGAGCTTTGGGGGTGCCCCTCACCCCCTTGCAATACCTGAGAAGGGGACGCAATGGTACCTAAAGCCAGTCCGGTCATCTTCAGACAAAGATCTATTCAAGAGGACTGACCGCTTATCGGATGTCCAGCATTGGCCAGAACCTCTGGGACCCGCCGGACCAGCACCCCAAATTCGGGAAGGGTCTTGGGCTCCAGGAAAGATCACTTTCCCTGTCCCATCAGAGGGGCGGAGCCACCCCCCTCTCAGGAATGCCCTCCTGGGAGAAAACAACTTCCTGTGTCCTTAAAGGGGGGGGGTTATTTGTTCCTTAGGTGTGGGGTTGTAAGGAACTAAGTCGCTTGCACGGATCACAGAAACCAACCTTTGAGGTTCCTCTCCACTCCCAAGAGATCAGAGGTGTCGCTCCCCCCTTCGACTTGACCCCTTGCAGCCCCCACCCCAAACCCTGACCTTCAGTCCTCTATTGCATAACTAGGAAATGCCCCCTCCGCCCCCCAAAAACTTAAAACTCCCAGCCCAACGCGAAATGCATTCACAACCCCCTGGGAAAGAAATTGCATTCCTCACAACCCTCCCCCGCCCCACTTATGGAGGACACGAGGCAGCTGTGGGGCAAATCTATCCTTATCTCTTCCTGCTCCCCCCTTGCCCGGGGCGTGGCTCGTTTCCCTCCCCCCGGAGGAACTCCCCAACAAACTCCGCTGCCGTCCTGGAAGTCTCCCCCCTTATCTCAAGGGGGGGGCGAGCGATGAAGTCACACGGAAGGGCGTGGCTTCAGACATCAACTTGGGGTGCCCCCATTCAACCCCATGGGCTGCGTGTGTCCACAGTCATTCCGACAACAGGATTTTTTTTGGGGGGGGGGTTGATTGTATCATCTCTTGCCTCTTCCAAAGTGGGGGGCGGGGGAGTGCCAATCTCTCCTCCTTTTGGGGGAACATTTCCCCACTTCCGGAAAACACGCTCGATTGGGCTTCAAACAGAGGGCAGAAACGACCCCCCCCCCCATTTTAAAAAGAAGCTTCTAACAGTTTCTGTGTTTTGGAGGGGGGTAGTAATCTTTGCCACGTGCACCTCTCTCCCAAGCGGTTACAAAAGGAACCAGGAAAACCGCGTAATGTGGGAAGGGGGCTGCCCCAAAACAGCAACCCCCAATGTTCTAGGTTCCCCAAAATAGCAACCCCAATTTTCTAGGTTCCCCAAAACAGCAACCCCAATGTTCCGGGTCCCCCAAAACAGCAACCCCCAATGTTCCAGGTCCCCCAAAACAGCAACCCCCAATGTTCCAGGTCCCCCAAAACAGCAACCCCCAATGTTCCAGGTCCCCCAAAACAGCAACCCCCTAATGTTCCAGGTCCCCCAAAACAGCAACCCCCAATGTTCCGGGTCCCCCAAAACAGCAACCCCCAATGTTCCAGGTCCCCCAAAACAGCAACCCCCAATGTTCCAGGTCCCCCAAAACAGCAACCCCCAATTTTCTAGGTTCTCCAAAACAGCATCCCCCAATGTTCTAGGTCCCCCCTCCCCAGAAAAAAAAATCTGCGCTGGTTGCAGCCTCGACGGGAGGGCGGGGACCCGGGTGCAGCCGCGCTCCTTTCTTCGGAGCAGCCTCGGCGTGCCGCCTCCCGTTTCCCCGCTTGCTCCTTCCTCGGGGCGGAGGCCCACGGGGAACCCAGACGGCGCCACCCCCCTCCCCGAAATCCCGGCCCCCGCAGCCCAGACAACAAAGGCTCCCTTCTCCCTCCGCCGCCGCCGCCGCGCCCGGGCAGCAGGTAGTACTAACCGACCTCATGTCTGCGGGCTCCGTGCGCGGCGCCGCCGCTCCTCCGACTGCCGCTTCCGCTGGGCTGCCGCTCGCCCAGACCTGGCTGGGTGGGGACGGGGGTGGGGCCGCGAGGAGGCCGGGCCGGAGACCCGGAGAGGAGGCTGCCGTCGCTGCCGCCGCCGTCGCCGGAGCTCCGGGCTCAGACAGCAGCACCGGGAGCCACCGGCGCCACAGCAGCAGCGTCCGCTCCGGTCCCCATCCGCCGCCCGCTTGCCTTCCTCCGGCCCGCGGCTACCTCGGCCCGGCCCGCCGCCCCCGCCGGGGGGGCATGGTCCCGATCCTGCCTCGCCAGAGAAGGAGGGGAGGCGGAGAAAGGGGCACGGGGGCGCGCGCGCGCTCCCGCACCAGCCTCGCCTGCCTGCCTCCCCGCGCGCGCCCTCTTTGATGTGGTTACAATGTTGCCTCCCCCGCCCCTCACTTCCTCTTTTTCTTCCCTCTCACTTTTTTCCCCCTTTGCTACATTTCATTCCGAAATTCCACTCCGCCTCCTCCCCCGCGCCGCGTTTCCACAATGCACCGCTCCGGCCCCGTCTTAAAAGGGGCGCGGCGGAGGGGGCGCCTTAAAAGGGCGATCGGAGGCGGGGGGGGGTGTGCTGGGGGAGACGGGAGCGCGCCCCCGATGGGGATTTAAAAAATAATAATAATAATATTTTTTCCAAAAAAATTTTATTGGTTTTCACAACGTTATAAACAAACACAAGACAAACAAACATAAATCAGAGCCTTATTGAAAATTACGCTTGTTAACATTGTTAAGTGACTTCCTCGCTTCCCCTTGGTTGAATTTCATTGCAGATCCTTTTAACGGTTTTCCAAATCACAGTTCTTATAAAATTTAACTTAAACAATGACATCCTTAGATCTTCACATTATGAAATTAAACATATTAATTCGACGCTTAACATAAATAAAATCCTGAGCCAATTAAGTATCTGCAAGCTGTTTTCTGTTAATTTAACTTAACATATTTAACTAAGTAATCATTAAATTTAATCCACTCTTCCTGGGAAAAGATTTATAATGAATTGAAAAAAATGTTGAAATATACATTTATAAAGAAACCAGAGGCCTTTCTCCTTCTGGTCGCGGACTCTTCCGGTCAGGTCAGTTAGCTCCGAAAAATCCATCATCTTCATCTGCCATTCTTCTATCGTTGGTAATTCTTGGGTTTTCCACTTCTTAGCTAATAAAATATGTGCAGCAGTTGTGGCATACAAAAATAATTTAACATCTTTCAGCTGGAAGGGGTCCCCCAAAGGCCATCCAGTCCAACCCCCTTCAATAATGCAGGAATCGCAGCTAAAAGAATCCCCATCCGATGGCATTCACAGCCGGAGAAGCCTTGGCCATCCAAACCTGGGTTTAAAAACTTCCCACGCATACGTTGTATTGCTCTAATACATACAACAGCCTTGTTGGGTAGGACAGTATAATTTGTCTCCCATGTTGAAGATAGGGGAGGCTGAGATGTGTGTCTGTGTGTATAATAAAGGTGTATACCAATTTAATAGACCTCTAACCTGTTTGCAAAGTATAATGACCAATTACAAGGCAATTACAATCAACAATCAATTAATCAATCAATTACAATTACAATCAACCAGTTTATTACAGTCATAGAATCAGCAGCAACAAGACATTAAATTTAACAGAGCCTTGCTTCAGGCAGCTTTATTATCAAGAGGGTAGGTCAGTTACACCCGTACATATAGCCGCTATGACTACACACTAAGCTTTTATGTTATGCTTTTAAACTAGGGAAGAAGAAGAAGAAGAAGAAGAATAACAACAACAATAATAATTTATTATTTATACCCCGCCCATCTGGCTGGGCTTCCCCAGCCACTCTGGGCGGCTTCCAACAAAATATTAAAATACAGTAATGCATCAAACATTAAAAGCTTCCCTAAACAGGGCTGCCTTCAGATGTCTTCTAAAAGTCTGGTAGTTGTTCTCTTTGACATCTGGTGGGAGGGCGTTCCACAGGGCGGGCGCCACCACCGAGAAGGCCCTCTGCCTGGTTCCCTGTAGCTTTGCTTCTCGCAATGAGGGAACCGCCAGAAGGCCCTCAGCGCTGGACCTCAGTGTCTGGGCTGAGTGATGGGGGTGGAGACGCTCCTTCAGGTATACTGGGCCGAGGCAATTTAGGGCTTTCAAGGTCAGCACCAACACTTTAAATTGTGCTCAGAAATGTACTGGGAGCCAGTGTAGGTCTTTCAAGACTGGTGTTATGTTGTCTCGGCGGCCGCTCCCAGTCACCCGTCTAGCGGGAGATAACCAGAGCATGCACCACTCTGGCGAGACAGTCCGCAGGCAGGTAGGGTCTCATCCTGCATACCAGGTGTATTATTATTGTTGTTGTTGTTGTTTAATAGATTTGTCTACTGCCCTTCATCCAAAGAACACAGGGCAGTTCACAACATGCAGGATCTGGGGCCCACATGTGAATGCATCAGCATTGTCCAACCTGGTGCCCCTGAGATGTTTTGAACCACAACTCCCACCAGCCCCAGGCAGAACTGATAAGCCAAAGCTACATTCTGGAGGGACAGCAGCCATTTTGAGGGGGACAGAGAGTGGAAGGTTGTCCTCTTCTTGGTGGGCTTTTTGCCCACTTAGGGGCACCCTTAGATCTGTCACCATCGTCGGAGGCACAGAGATCCTCAGTGGCTCTCAAGAGAGCTTCCTTCCACCTTTGGCTGTGCCTGGGCAGGGATGGCTTGGCCATGGTGGTGCAGGCCTTGGCAACGTCTTGGCTGGACTACTGCAATGTATTCTACGTGGGGCTACCCTTGAAGGCGGTGAGGGTCCTGTGTGAGTGCCTGGAGGCGGTTGGAGGACGGATGGTTGCTAACAGATTGAGGTTGAATCCTGACAAAACAGAAGTACTGTTTTGGGGGGACAGGGGGCGGGCGGGTGTGGAGGACTCCCTGGTCCTGAATGGGGTAACTGTGTCCCTGAAGGACCAGGTGTGCAGCCTGGGAGTCATTTTGGACTCACAGCTGTCCATGGAGGCGCAGGTCAGTTCTGTGTCCAGGGCGGCTGTCTACCAGCTCCATCTGCTACGCAGGATGAGACTCTATCTGCCCGCAGACTGTCTCGCCAGAGTGGTGCATGCTCTGGTTATCTCCCGCTTGGACTACTGCAACATGCTTTACATGGGACTACTGGAAACTACAACTAATCCAGAATGCGGCAGCTAGACTGGTGACTGGGAGCGGCTGCCGAGACCACAAAACACCGGTCCTGAAAGACCTACATTGGCTCCCAGTACGTTTCCGAGCACAATTCAAAGTGTTGGTGCTGACCTTTAAAGCCCTAAACGGCCTCAGTCCTGTATACCTGAAGGAGCGTCTCCACCTCCATCATTCTGCCCAGACACTGAGGTCCAGCGCCGAGGGCCTTCTGGCAGTTCCCTCACTGCGAGAAGCCAAGTTACAGGGAACCAGGCAGAGGGCCTTCTCGGTGGTGGCACCCGCCCTGTGGAACGCCCTCCCATCAGATGTCTAGGAAATAAACAACTACCTGACATTTAGAAGACATCTGAAGGCTGTCCTGTTTAGGGAAGTTTTTTAATGACTGATGTTTTAATGTATTTTAAATCTCCTGTTGGAAGCTGCCCAGAGTGGCTGGGGAAACCCAACCAGATGGGCGGGGCATAAGTAATAAATTGTTGTTGTTGTTGTTAATATTATTAATTAAGTTGGTTCAGAAACTGCAGCTCATGCAGAGTGAAGCAACGCAGCTTTTGGCCAGAACAACTCTGCATCCATTATGCAGTTACTGAAAGCTCCTTGCTGGCTGCCAGAAAATCTCCTAGCCTTGTTCAAGGTATCAATGCTGAGGTATGAAAGACTAAAGGGCTTAATAGGAACCAGGTAACCTCAAGGTCCACAAATGACAACATGTTGGAGGTCCCAAGTCGCAAGGTGGTTAGATTGGTCTCAACTAGGGCCAGGGCCTTTTCAGTACTGGCCCCGACTTGGTGGAACGCTCTGTCACAAGAGACCAGGGCCCTGCGGGACTTGACATCTTTCCACAGGGCCTGAAAGACGGAGCTGTTCCGCCTGGCCTTTGGTTTGGACTCAGTCTGACCCTTATGTTTCCCTCCACTTATGGTTTTGATCTATGGGCTACTTTTAAAATGAGGCTGCATTTTAAATTGCATTTTAACCTGAATTTTAAATTGGTCCCCCCCCATTATGCTTTTACTGTAATTTTACTGGTGTTAGCTGCCCTGAGCCAGGCTCTGGCCAGGGAGGGCGGGGTATGAATAAAATTTATTACTATCATCATCATCATCACCATTATTATTAGGGACCACCTTGTCCCCCTGTACACCAGTTCTCCCATAGCCCTTTCGTTCCTATGCAAACTGAGGCCTAGAATCCTCAAATTGGGATGGATCCCAGGGGTCATCTAGTCCAACCCCCGCCATGCAGGAATCACAGCTAAAGAATCCCTGACCGATGGCCATCCGACCTCTGCTTAAAAAGCTCCATTGAAGCAGAGAGCTTGTCAAAGGAAAGAACTCCCGAGGCTTAAACCACCCCAGAAGAGGAGATTTCTGATCCGCTCTCTGCTCGTGGGAATGTGGGGAACTGGCTGTGGTTACTCTGTGTATGCTCAGAGGCGCCCCCTCTCTAGCTGGTCCCCTATGACCTTATGACTGAATAGGGCACAGATGAAGCCCTGTGCAGATGAACTCCAGCTGGCCTCCCTCCCCTGTTTGTCTTGTGGGAGGGAAGACATTGTCGGCCAAGGGAGTTGGCGTTTGGAGAGCGTTGGCTACAATTATCTTGGCTCTGCCCCTCTGTGTGTGCCAGCTGCGGAACCAACCACTTTCCCCACTCTGTATCTATGGGTGTGTGAAATTTGGAGCCTGAATTTGCCTGGAATCCCATAATCCCCATTTTCTTTGCATGGTTGTAATATGGTCTGAAGCTCAACATCAAAAAAACGAAGATCATGGCAACTGGTCCCATCACCTCCTGGCAAATAGAAGGGGAAGAAATGGAGGCAGTGAGAGATTTTACTTTCTTGGGCTCCATGATCACTGCAGATGGTGACAGCAGCCACGAAATTAAAAGACGCCTGCTTCTTAGGAGAAAAGCAATGACAAATCTAGTCAGCATCTTAAAAAGTAGAGACATCACCTTACCAACAAAGGTCCGTATAGTTGAAGCTCTGGTTTTCCCAGTAGTGATGTATGGAAGTGAGAGCTGGACCATAAAGAAGGCTGATCGCCAAAGAATTGCTGCTTTTGAATTCTGGTGCTGGAGGAGACTCTTGAGAGTCCCATGGACTGCAAGAAGATCAAATGCATCCATTCTGAAGGAAATCAGCCCTGAGTGGTCACTGGAAGGACAGATCCTGAAGCTGAGGCTCCAAGACTTTGGCCACCTCATGAGAAGAGAAGACTCCCTGGAAAGAAAGATGGAGGGCACAAGGAGAAGGGGACGACAGAGGACGAGATGGTTGGACAGTGTTCTCGAAGCTACCAGCATGAGTTTGACCAAACTGCGGGAGGCAGTGGAAGACAGGAGTGCCTGGCGTGCTCTGGTCCAGGGGGCCACGAAGAGGCAGACACGACTAAACAACAACAAAACACACACACACACGAGAGGAAACCTCTATCCCTGACCTCATAGCATGACACATTTATTTGGGGTCTGTGGTAACCCCTTATGCTAGGCCCTGTTTGCACCCTACATGTAAAGCTCTGGGTCTAGGGTAACCCTTTTCAATACTCAAGGCCTCTAGCTAAGCAGACATCTGGGAGATTTCCTTTATTTCATTTTAATGCACAGTGGCAGGGTTTTTTTAGCCCACATGGATGTGGCCAAAAGGAGGATGGCATCCCATCATTCTCAGGTCGTACCATATATTTAAAGCACACTATGATGCCACTTTAAACAGCCATGGCTTCTTGCCACCCCCTAAATTTCTGGGAACTGTAGTTTAAGAGTGCTGAAACTCCTCCGTAGACCCCTATTCCCCTCGCAGAGCTACAATTCCCAGAGTTCCCTGGGAAGAGGGATTGATCCTGAAAACCATTCTGTGAACTGTAGTTCTGTCAGGGGAATGGGATGGGGTCTCCTAACACCTCTCAGCACCCTACACTTCCCAGAATAATTTTGGGGAAGCCATGTCTGATTAAAGTGGTCTCACGGGCGAGTCTCACCAATCTACATTATAAGTGCCGTATTTTCCGCTCTATAAGACGCACCAGACCACAAGACGCACCTAGTTTTTGGAGGAGGAAAACAAGAAAAAAAATATTCTGAATCTCAGAAGCCAGAACAGCAAGAGGGATCGCTGCGCAGTGAAAGCAGCAATCCCTCTTGCTATTCTGGATTCTGTGATAGCTGCGCAGCCTGCATTCGCTCCATAAGACGCACACACATCTCCCCTTACTTTTTAGGAGGGAAAAAGTGAGTCTTATAGAGCAAAAAATACGGTATGTATACGCATCAGTTACAATATCCAATGGGATAGGAGCAATTCTTCTATTGGTCGATAGCAGGGCGGCCGAGCGGCCAATAAGAGTTCCTTCCGCGTCCCATTGGCTGCCAGCTGTGTGGACCGGATTCCGTGGCAGCCAATCACGGCCCGCGTCCTCTGGGCACTTGGAGGAGGACAGCTTGGTGTGGCGTCAGCCTCACTCGGTCCACGTTGCTCTCGCGCTGGGGCTCAGGGTGGGTGCTGAAGAGAACCTTGGCAGGAACCAGGAAGTTGAGCTGGCTCAGGATGAGCTGGAGGGGCCGCGGCCCCAGGTTCAAGACCACCAGGATTGCGGAGCAGGATCCGGGCCGGAGAAAGGCGAAGACGTCCTCAGAGTGGCCGGCAAGGGGCAGAGGGATGTAATCGACCCCATGCAGAGCGAAGGAGCTGGCGTGCAAAGTCAGGAGAGAGCGGTGCAGGTTCTCCAGCAGAGCCCGGTCAGAGCTTCCTTCCTAATTGAGAGAGCACAGAAAGCAGCCTCAGACCACTGACCCACCTAGTGTGCTGGTCCCGAGGGTTAACCGTGCGGCAAGGTCTGAGTCCAGTCCAAGGTCAAGGGTGCGGTATAGAGGCTGTCCGTCAAAGCTGAAGCAGGGTCCAAGGCAGGGAGTTGGGTGGGGTCAGGAACTCTGGCAGAAGAGCAGGACAGGGTGCAGGCAGGAACAGGCTACCAACTAACTATGTTGCTCCCTATGTTGATCAACTATGTTGATGTATGGAAGTGAAAGCTGGATCATAAAGAAGGCTGATCGCCGAATAATGGATGCTTTTGAATTATGGTGCTGGAGGAGACTCTTGAGAGTCCCATGGACTGCAAGAAGATCAAACCGATCCATTCTGAAGGAAATCAGCCCTGAGTGCTCACTGGAAGGACAGATCCTGAAGCCGAGGCTCCAATACTTTGGCCACAGCATGAGAAGAGAAGACTCCCTGGAAAAGACCCTGATGTTGGGAAAGATGGAGGGCAGAAGGAGAAGGGGACGACAGAGGACCAGATGGTGGGACAGTGTTCGCAAAGCTACCAGCATGAGTTTGACCAAACTGCAGGAGGCAGTGGAAGACAGGAGGGCCTGGCGTGCTCTGGTCCAGGGGGTCACGAAGAGTCAGACATGACTAAATGACTAAACAACAACAACATGTTGCTCCCGCAACCTGGGACTGGCCGGCTTTTATCTGCCCCGAGGCATAGGGCGGCCCCAGTCCACAGGTGACTCGCCTCTCCTGGCCTGGAGGCGAGCACTCCTCCTGCGGGAACTTAGTTCCCTCCGCCTCTCTGCCCTGAGCCTCTGCAGCTCCGGAGAGGCTGGAGGGTGACCGGACCCAAAGGCAACCTCAGCTTCCTCTGACGGGGTTGAGAGTGGAGCACCTGCAGGCAATGGGTCCTCCATCACCTCCGGAGTCAGAGCGGATTCAGCTGGTGCCTGCACCTGGGGATCCAGCACAGGTGAGGACCCTTCAGGCTCATGCCCCAGCTCAGCTGGTTCTGGAGGCGGGGAATCGTGTGAAGGCTGGGATTCCTCAGGTTCAGCCTCCGAGTCCGAATCCCAGGCCATCACACCTAGCTCCATACTGTCTACACTGGCAGCAGCTCTCCAGCGTTTCAGGCAGGGTCCAGGCCTACCTGCAGATGCCGAGGATCGAACCCAGAACCATTTGCACGTGAAGCGTATACGCTGCAGCTGCACGAGGGACGTCCCGTCGAAAAACACACACAACAGGATTCTAGTCCTCATCGCTTTGAATAAGGGGCTGATTTAAATAGGGGGTCAGCGGTGCCATCAGACCACAAGTCAGTGTTGCTCCGTTTGGGCTGGATCAGTGGTTCCCAAAGGGGGGGGTAGGATCACCGAGGTGGGGTGCTAAGAGTCAAGGGGGCGGCAGGAGGTATGGGTGTACTTAAGGGTTGCGGAGGTTGGGGAGCAGGCCAAGTGGCGAGGGCAAATCTCCGGAGTTTCAGAGAGGGCACACTTACAGCCCTATAGGAAGATGGAGAGGCAGCATGGTGTAGTGGTTAGAGTGTCACACTAGGACGGGGAGAGAAAAATACCATAAAACATCAGACATTAAAAACTTCCCAAAACAGGGCTGCCTTCAGATGTCTTCTAAAAGTCATATAGTTGTTTATTTGCTTGACATCTGATGGGAGGGCATTCCACAGGGCGGGCGCCACCACTAAGAAGGCCCTGTGCCTGGTTCCCTGTAACCTCACTTCTCACAGTGAGGGAACCGCCAGAAGGCCCTTGGAGCTGGACCTCAGTGTCCGGGCTGAAAGATGAGGGTGGAGACGCTCCTTCAGGTATACTGGACCGAGGCCGTTTAGGGCTTTCAAGGTCAGCACCAACACTTTGAATTGTGCTCGGAAACGTACTGGGAGCCAATGAAGATCTTTCACGACCGGTGTTATGGGGTCTCGGTGGCCGCTCCCAGTCATCAGTCTAGCTGCTGCCTTCTGGCTTAGTTGTAATTTCCAGGTCACCTGCAAAGGTAGCCCCATGGAGAGCACATTGCAGTAGTCCAAGCGGGAGATAACCAGAGCATGCACCACTCTGGCAAGACAGTCTGCGGGCAGGGAGGGTCTCATCCTGCGTTCCAGATGGAGCTGGGAGACAGCTGCCTTGGATACAGAATGGACCTGCGCCTCCATGGACAGCTGTGAGTCCAAAATGACTCCCGGGCTGGGCACCTGGTCATTCAGTGGCTCATTTACCCCATTCAGGACCAGGGAGTCCCCCACACCTGCCCACCCATTACAGCTTGTGCAAAACCCACCTTTTTCTGCATTGGACCCCCCTCTTGATTTCAGCTAGTCCATCTGCCAGAGCCTGTCTTCACAAGCAGGGGAAGTCCCCAACTCCAGTATACCTGAAGGAGCGTCTCCACCCCATCGTTCTGCCCGGACACTGAGGTCTAGCGCCGAGGGCCTTCTGGCGGTTCCCTGAATGCGAGAAGCCAAGTTACAGGGAACCAGGCAGAGGGCCTTCTCGGTGGTGGCTCCCGCCTTGTGGAACGCCCTCCCAGCAGATGTCAAAGAGAAGAACTACTACCAGACTTTTAGAAGACATCTGAAGGCAGCCCTCTTTAGGAAAGCTCTTAATGTTTAACAGACCACTGTATTTTAATATTTTGTTGGAAGCCGCCCAGAGTGGCTGGGGGAGCCCAGCCAGATGGGCGGGGTATAAATAATAAATTCTATTCTATTCTAACTCACTGAAGGTTTGAGACATGTAATAAATAAATAAATTCCGGGGATTCAACCCAGCGGACATGCTTTAGCACTGAGCTAAAGCCCTTCCCCAAGTGTGAGACAATGGTCTGTGTCTCACCGTGGACGCATTCTGCATTGGAACAGGGGATCCTTCGCCACCTTGCAATAGTGGGACTCCTGGAAGGGTGAGCTGGAGAACTCCCAACATCTGCCCCAAGCCAGCCTTCAGTGGGGATCCCCATGGCACCTGGAAGAGAGAGAGAAACAGAGAACAGAAAAGGAAGTGGACCCCAAACCGAGGCCTTGACTCGTTTACCGGTTTATCTTTTTTCACAAGGGATTATTTGGGTGCCTTCTCGGCACAACAAATCCTTTCGTAGAATTGTAGATTACAAGCTGCTTGTGCAATATACAATTTACAGCTTGGAAGAAGTTATGGAATTGGGATTTAAAAGTCACAGCATATTACACGTTGAAATAAAATTATATGAAAATGATGTTCCGTTGGTATTTAACTCCTAGTAAATTAGGAAAAATGTATAAAACGGAGTCAAATGTATGCTGGAAATATAAGGGGAAAGAAGGCACCTTCTGTCATATGTGGTGGAAATGTAAGGTAGTAAAAGGATTTTGGGAAATGATATATAATGAGTTGGAAAAAATGTTTAAAATAACCTTTTCTAAAAGAACAAAACAGAAGCCTTCCTTTTAGGAATTCCAGGTGCTGAAATCCCAAGGGAGCAGAAAAGACAATTTATCTATGTGTCCACGGCTGCGCAGATGTTACTTGCCCAGAGATGGAAAGAATATGAAGTCCCTACCAGAGAGGAATGGCAGATCAAATTGATGGACTTTGCCAACATGGCTAAAATGACTGGAAGAATCAGAAATCAGGAAGACCAAAATTTTAATTAGGAATGGGTTGAAATTTATAACTTATCTTCAAGACCATTGTAAACAGTTAAAATCGTTAGTAAGATTGGAATGTCACTTGTAGTTTAATGGTGAACATTGGATACAATGGAGAGATAAAATATTTGGATTATTATAAAAGATGCAGGAGGAAATGATTAACAATAGGACCCACAAAGGGAAGGAGGGAAGTCCAAGAGATTCCTTGTAATTTTGTTTTTATGTTGGATATGTGAAAAATCTGAAAAACCAAATATTTTTTAAAAAATAATAATTCAAAAAGCAGCTTGCACCAGAGAAGTTTCACGCAGCCCAAGCAAAGTCCCTCCTCACCATCCACCCGGGCCAGGCCACCTGCGGGTGCCCCAAGGCCCCTTCCACCCGTTGCGCCAGTCCTTGGGCAGTCAGGTTCCTCTCAGCTCCCAGCAGACGGCAGCTGAGGATGACGCTGTCAGGCACCCAGCAAGAAATGTTGCATCTTTCGCTCTCGTCCAGGACAATCAGGACCCTGAAAGAGATGCATGTGAAATTAACCCTGTCACTGTTTTGCAGGGCGTGTGCTGAATTGCAGATTTCAAATGCTTGCTGCTTCGACGCTGTGATGGCCTGGGAATCCGATTCAGAGGCTGAACCGGAGGAATCCCAGCCTGCACAGGAGTCCCCGCCTCCAGGGCTGGCTGAGCTGGGGCAGGGGCTTGAACCTGAAGGGCCCTCACCTGTGCCGGATCCTCAGGAGCAGCCACCAGCTGAATCCGCTCTGGCTCCAGAGGTGATGGAGGACCCATTGCCTGCAGGTGCTCCACTCTCAGCCCTGTCAGAGGAAGCTGAGGTTGCCTCTGGGTCCAGTAACCCTCCAGCCTCTCCTGAGCTGCAGAGGCTCAGGGCAGAGAGGCGGAGGGAACTAAGTTCTCACAGAAGGAGTGCTCGCCTTAAGGCCAGGAGAGGCAAGTCACCTGTGGGCCGGGACCGCCCTAGGCCTCAGAGGAGATAAAGGCCAGTCAGCCCAGTCCCAGGTTGCGGGAGCAACATCGTTGGTATCCTGTACCTGCCTGCATCCTGTCCTGCTCTTCCAGAGTTCCTGACCACGCCCGGCTCCTTGCCTTGGACCCCGTTTCGCCCTTGACAGACAGCCTCCAGACCCTTGACCTAGGACCAGACTCAGACCACGCCACATGGTAACCTCCCCCCCCCCCCCGGGACCAGCACAGATACAAGACTTTTTTTTGCAGTAAGGGACACGGCAGGGGTTGCTTCCAGATGACCTGCTTATGGTGCATGCACCAAGGGGGTTATACGATGTTATGTCCAGCAATAACACAACATTTCCCAGTGCGTTTCGCCATGGCTTCCTCGTTGCGAAAAGCCTGCTTTTCCTTTTAAAGGGGGAAGTGGGTTTGTTGTGCAAGAACAGCGGATCGCCTGTAACTGTGCAGCCTGAATTGCTGGTATGCGTTTGAATCCCACCTAATAATAATAATAATAATAATAATAATTTATTTATTCCCCGCCCATCTGGTTGAGTTTCCCCAGCCACTTTGGGCGGCTCCCAATCGAGTGTTGAAAACAATACAGCATTAAATATTAAAAACTTTCCTAAACAGGGCTGCCTTCAGATGTCTTTTAAAGATAAGATAGCTGCTTATTTCCTTCACATCTGATGGGAGGGCGTTCCACAGGGCGGGCGCCACTGGAACATGCATGCATTGCAAAGTGCAAGATGGCAACGTGATGTCATATGACGTCCCTACAAACCAATCCGAATGAATTCTAAATAAAAGATGGACGTCGTGCACTTCAGGGTCAGTCTAGATGATGCCCTGAGTACCTTCCAGTCCTTGGAGTGCTGTGCCCAGTGCTGGTTGGAATCTATTGGAGGAGGCTGCTGGGCTGGCCGCACAAGTTTTTTGTAAGGTTGTTACCTGGGCTGGCCACCTCAGTGTCCTCATCAGCATCACAAAAGAATGAGCTAGGTTGCAACTATGTGAGGGGGCCTTCCAGGCTAATGGGTGGAAAGAGGCTGGAAGCTGGATACACAGAGACCTGCTAGCTCTGTGCTGGACCTAAAGCTGCAACTAACGGAGAAGCAATTAATGCAGACCCCCCCACCCCACCCCAAGTGTCCCTATTTTCCAGGAACAGTCCCGGATTTACAGAAGCCGTTCTGGTTTCTGATTTGATCCCAGAATGTCCTGCTTTTCCTTAAAGGTAAAGGGACCCCTGACAATTAGGTCCAGTCGTGGCCGACTCTGGGGTTGCGGCGCTCATCTCGCTTTAATGGCCGAGGGAGCCGGCGTACAGCTTCTGGGTCATGTGGCCAGCATGACTAAGCCGCTTCTGGCGAACCAGAGCAGCGCACGGAAACACCGTTTACCTTCCCGCCGGAGAGGTACCTATTAATCTACTTGCACTTTGATGTGCTTTCGAACTGCTAGGTTGGCAGGAGCAAGGACCGAGCAATGGGAGCTCACCCCGTCGCGGGGATTCGAACCGCCGACCTTCTGATCGGCAAGTCCTAGGCTCTGTGGTTTAACCCACAGCGCCACCCACGTCCCTTTTATTATGGAATAGGATGTCCCTATTTTCATCTGAGAAATGTTGGAGGCTATGCTTAACGTTGACGTATTATGCCCAGGTTGCATATATGTGTAAGTATATCCTAAGGACACAACAGTATCTGCTGTTCTTCATTCCTATGAAACTGAACCCTGGCCAAGCACTGGAATGTCTTGCCACTCAGATATTGGGGTGATGCGTAAAAGTACCCAATAAAAGGGCAAACCCCCAGCCTCCCAAACTTCAGATTCTCCAATGCCTTGGGACTGCCTGCATTCCCCAGTCCTGCCACCAGAGGTCCTCGCAGACCCTGGACTAAGGAGGGTCTGGGGGAAAGGAAATTGAAAAGATCAGAGAATAAAATATATGATGAATTTAAGAAATTATTTAAATTGACTTTTTAAAAAAGGCCGGAGATTTTCCTTCTAGGAATTCTGCCCATAGAAATAAAGCAAAATACAAGACCACTGCTTATGTATTCAATTACAGCTGCAAGAATACTGATAGCCAGAAGTTGGAAAAGTGAAACAACACCTACAAGAATAGATTGACAATCACTCATGCTGAGTACTTTCAATTAGCAAAACTGAGTGGAAAAGTTAGAGGAGCCCCAAATAAAAAAATATACAGAGAATGGGGACTATTCAAAGAGTATATATAAGATTGTGCTGTAAAAATGACGTTATCCTAGCAGAACTGAATGATACTTGTATATAATAAACAAATGGAATAAACATACTAGAGAAATATACAGGAAAAGTTATAAAACAAACTGTGCAACAAAATTAAGATAACAGAAAAAGTACAAAGAGAATGATTGGAAGTTTCTTTCAGAAGACTCTATTAGATAAGACAGGATGTTATAACCAATGTTCATTTCTTATTGTTAACTCTCTTTTGCTTTTTTATTTTTATTTCTTTATCTTTTTTTCTCTTATAATTTCGTGTTAAATTTTGTTGTAACTATTTGTAACATATATGTAAGATGATATTTTAAATCAAGAAAGACGAATTATTTAAAAGAAAAGAAAAGAAAAGAAAAGAAAAGATCAGAGAACCCCCATAGGCCACTGACCCCTCACTTACTTCTCCTGCCCCCGATCTGGCTTCGTTTGAGCGCCCAGCTCACTCCACGCATCCAGCACCTACAATCAAGCCCCACAGAAGACAGTATCACACACCCACATATTTGGGGTTCATCAATCCTAAGAGGGAAAGCTCAGGTTCCCGACTGCAGTTCCAATCAACAACACACCTTAGATTCCTCAGTGTACTTACAAATGTGCATTGCAAAGGGGGCATTCTAGAATTTTTTTCCTTTTCTTTACCTATAGAGCAGGCACCCCCAAACTCGGCCCACCAGCTGTTTTGGGACTACAACTCCCATCATCCCTAGCTAACAGGACCACTGGTCAGGGATGATGGGAATCGTAGTCCCAAAACAGCTGGAGGACTGAGTTTGGGGGTGCCTGCCATAAAGGCATCATGTTGGCTAGATGGGCCAATGGAGTCTGTTCTTACGCTCACCCCAAATGTGAGGAAGCTGGGGTGAGGGTTAAAGGCTGCCCAAAACCCTTGTTAGGTTCGAGTATGTACAGAGTCTGGAGTTTAAAATGCTTCTATATTAAAACTTCATTTGTAACTCGCCTCTCTTTTTCGTGTCTTGCTCTGTAAAGCGGATTTCCCTTTAAAACTGGTTTTGTGGGTCCCTGTCCTCTCAGTGCCACAGAAACCTTGAAGTTGCTACTGCAGACAAATAGGAGGGACTTTGCAATCAGTCCCTTCGCTTCCTTAAGTATGAAAGGCACTAACCTAGCTTGTGTTGCGACATCAGTTAAAGATTTATTTATCCAGGCAGATCTGGATAAAAACCTGGCTGCTGCTGCTGCTGCTGCTGCTGCTGCTGCTGCTGCTGCTGCTTCTTCTTCTTCTTCTTCTTCTTCTTCTTCATCTTCATCTTGAAACACAGGGGCCTAGCAAGCTGTCTTACACAGAGTCAGACCATTGCTCCATCTAGCTTGATATTTTAAAGCTATGGTTTTCCCAGCAGTGATGTATGGAAGCGAGAGGTGGACCATCAAGAAGGCTGATCGCCAAAAAATGGATGCTTTTGAATTCTGGTGCTGGAGGAGACTCTTGAGAGTCCCATGGACTGCAAGAAGATCAAACCGATCCATTCTGAAGGAAATCAGCCCTGAGTGCTCACTGGAAGGACAGATCCTGAAGCTGAGGCTCCAGTACTTTGGCCACCTCATGAGAAGAGAAGACCCCTGGAAAAGACCCTGATGTTGGGAAAGATGGAGGGCACAAGGAGAAGGGGATGACAGAGGGCGAGATGGTTGGACAGTGTTCTCGAAGCTACAAACATGTGTTTGACCAAACTGCGGGAGGCAGTGGAAGACAGGAGTGCCTGGCGTGCTCTGGTCCAGGGGGTCGCGAAGAGGCGGACACAGCTAAACAACTAAACAACAACAACAAGCTTGATATTGTCTACCGGGACTGGCAGCATCTCTGCAGGATTTTAGGAAAGGGTTTTTTAGCCCTACCTGGAGATGCTGCCAGCAGGGTTTGGACTTGGCAGCTTCTGCAGACGGCACAGGTGCCCTGTTGCTTAGCCACAAATTTCCCCAAGTGCTTTTTTTAATTTTTTACTTTTTTTTAAGTGTCTATCTGGGATTCAATAAGAAAGGGTGGTATATGAATATTTCAAACAAGTAAACAAAATGCCACTGGGTGGCACCGCTCTTACCGCCTCCAGCCGCCAGGCAGGATCCTTGCCCACCAGGAATCCATGAACCCCCAAAGCCTGCCAGAACTGGAACGCCCCCTGCAGGGTCAAACAAAAGGAGTTGGATGCTCAGGGATGGGGAGCTGAATTTGGCTGCAGAAATCCCAGGCTCACTCAGCTGGGAATAAGACCCACTTTGAGACAGAGGGACTGACTTCTCAGTTAATGTGTCGTGTGCCCACTTGCGGTGCATGGAACTGAACATGCCAGGACCCGTCATGGCTCAGCCCAAGAGCATGTCAACTCAGAATATTGCGTCTTGAAAGCAAGGGCCGGATTCGAGCCTCGGGCACAGGGTGTCTCTGTGCACGTACAGGATGAACCCAGGGCCGGATTGAGGTTTGATGAGGCCCTAAGCTGCTGAAGGTAATGGGGCCCTTTATATGTCCAGCTGTCCTTTGTCAACAACAAATTGCAGCTGTTTTATGTGTTGGATATATATGCTATATGGTAACTGATGGACCTAATAGGTATCCAACCCATTTGCACATAACAAAATACGTATTTTATCCAAGTAATTGTGGAACTGAAATACAATTAAGATAGGAAAATTCATGTTAAATTGCTGCTTTATGGGTTGTTTTTAAAAGTCTGGAATGGATGAATCCATTTTGCATTGCATTCTATGGGAAAGTGTGCCTTGGTTTTGGAACACTTTGGTTTTGGAACGAACTGCCAGAATGGATCAAGTTTGAGAACCAAGGTACCACTGTATATAGAAAGGAGCAAAGCAGTGATATTTTAGGGAGCAGGCTAGCAGGTGGGGTCCATGACTTACATCATAGGAGCCTACACAACACAAAACACTGTTGCTGTGTGTAGGTTTTATTTTATTTGTTTTTTATCTTATATTTTGGAAATGTACATCCAGATTTTCCCCGCTCTTTGCATTCTTCGGGGGCCCCCAAGAGAGTGGGACCCTAAGCTAGAGCTTGTTTAGCTTCTACGTAAATCCGGCGCTGGATGAACCTTGCCTCAAAACGGACATTGTATAGCTGGAAAAGGTTCACCAAAATGATTGAGGCAGGGAAAGTTGCATCACTTGGGAGTTTTTATATTAGAGGAAAAAAGCAAGTGTAGTTATTCTATGGAACTCCCTGCCACAGGAGGCAATGATGGCCATCAACCTAGATGGTTTTAAAAGAGGATTGGGCAAAGTCATGGAGGAGGAGAGGGTTGTCGATGGCTACTAGACAGGACAGCTATAATCTGCCTTCATGGTTGGAGGCAGCAGTGCTTCTGAATCTGGAAACCGCAAGAGAGGAGAGAGCTCTTATAAATAATAATAATAAATTTTTATTTATACCCCGCCCTTCCTGGTTCAGAAAACCAGGCTCAGGGGAGCCAATAACAAATTTAAAACACATAATCGATGCATCAAAAAACAGCATAAAATACAGTATAAAACCTGAATAATAAATTCAGAATTCAAAAATCAATTTAGGAGGGGAAATCCATCCAATAAACATTAGATGATCACCAGGGCTAGCTGGCTAAGTTGGTCCTATTTGGGCCGGCGAGGAGACCAGGGGAGAATTAGCTGTGGGATCCCAGAGCGGGGAATCTTCATAAAAAGGGGAGAAGGAAGGAAGGAAGGGGAATAAAAGATCAAGCTAAGTTCAATTAAAGGCCAGGCGGAATAGCTCTGTCTTACAGGCCCTGAGGAAGGAAGTTCAATCCTGAAGGGCCCTAGTCTCATGGGACAGAGCATTCCACCAGGTCGGAGCCCTCACTGAGAAGGCGCTGGCCCTGGTGGAGGATAATTTAACTTCCTTAGGGCCTGGGACCTCTAAACTTCCTGGACCTTAAGGTCCTCTGTGGGGCAGACCAGATCTTGCACTCAGATCCTGCCTGCAGGTTTCCCATAATGTGCATCTGGTTGGCTACTATGAGAACAGGGTTCTGGACCAGATAGGTCACTAGCCTGATCCTGCAGGCTGTTCTTAGTTTCTTATGCACCACCACCCCCAGCCAACCTCTGCACATCTGGGATCAGAAGAAAGGTTTCTGGGCCAAAGTCTGTGAATTCCAACCAGGCTTGAAGTTTATTTCAGAATTTAAGCAAACCGACATCAGCAGTCTCCTACCCTGGCAGCTGAATACGGGCAAACATGGCCAGACTTTGAGGAGGAACGACAACCACATACCTTGAGGAGCTGGTGTGTCCAGTTGTGCTTTGCAGGGGAGTCCAGCTCCTCTTCCCAGACTGGGAGTTCAAGCAAAATTCGGAGTCCTGGGTGGTTGGAGGAGAGGGGCGTTGGAATGGGAAAAGGCAAAAATAATAGAATCATGGCCACCCAACCACTGCTTGCAAATCTCCGGTGAAGCTGAGGCCTATGTTGAACAACGCCTATCCTAAAATAAGTTCTTACTAATGTTTCATCGGAATCTGCTTTCTTGTAATTTGAATCTGTTTATTCAAGTCCTTTCCTCTGGAGGAGCAGGTAAGAAGCTTGCTCCATCTTCCATGTGACCACTCTTCAGATATTTGAAGGTGGCTAAAATATCTCCTTTCCATCTTTTCCTCTCCTGGCTAAACATAGCCAACTCCCACAACTCTTCCTCTGAAGTTTGAAGACCCAGCTCTACCTCTCTTTCAAATCAGAACCAGTGAAGGCGGTGAAGGTCCTGTGTGAGTGCCTGGAGGCGGTTGGAGGATGGATCGTGGCTAATGGATTGAGGTTGAATCCTGACAAGACATAAGTACTGTTCTTGGGGGACAGGGGGCGGGCTGGTGTGGAGGACTCCCTGGTCCTGAATGGGACAACTGTGCCCCTGAAGGACCAGGTGCGCAGCCTGGGAGTCATTTTGGACTCACAGCTGTCCATGGAGGCGCAGGTCAGTTCTGTGTCCAGGGCAGCTGTCTCCCAGCTCCATCTGGTACGCAGGATGAGACCCTCCCTGCCCACAGACTGTCTCGCTAGAGTGGTGCATGCTCTGGTTATCTCCCGCTTGGACTACTGCGATGCGCTCTACGTGGGGCTACCTTTGAAGGTGACCTAGAAACTGCAACTAATCCAGAATGCGGCAGCTAAACTGGTGACTGGGAGCGGCCACCGAGACCATGTAACACCGGTCTTGAAAGACCTACATTGGCTCCCAGTACGTTTCTGAGCACAATTCAAAGTGTTGGTGTTGACCTTTAAAGCCCTAAACAGCCTTGGCCAGGTATACCTGAAGGAGCGTCTCCACCCCCATCATTCAGCCCAGACACTGAGGTCCAGCTCCGAGGGTCTCCTGGTGGTTCCCTCACTGAGAGAAGCCAAGTTACAGGGAACCAGGCAGAGGGCCTTCTCGGTGGTGGCACCCGCCCTGTGGAACGCCCTCCCATCAGATGTCAAAGAGATAAATAACTACCTGACATTCAGAAGACATCTGAAGGCAGCCCTGTTCAGGGAAGTTTTTAATGTGTGACATCTTAGTGTATTTTTGGTCTTTGTGGAAGCCGCCCAGAGTGGCTGGGGAAACCCAGCCAGATGGGCGGGGTACAAATAATAGTAAATTATTATTATTATTATTATTATTATTAAGACGTGGTCGCCCTCCTCTGCCCACCTTCCAGCTTGTCAACATCCTTCTTAAATGTTGGTGCCCAGAACTGGACACAGGACCCCAAGTGTGGCCTGACCAAGGCAGAAGAGAGCAGGGCTATTATCCCCCTTGATCTGGACACTAGGACTTCTGTTGATGCAGCCTAGAAGTTGCAGCGCAACAACCTCATCAGGTGTGGGGCAAGATTGTACTTGAAGAACTGCAACCTGCCATTTCTTGCCTTGAAACAGGCCCTGTCTGTGGGCACCGGAAGCTCAGCTGCTTTCTGTGGCATCAGGGCCCCTTGGTCCACCAGCGTGGCCTGCTCTGACTGGCAGCTGCCCTGCGGGGTCTCAGGCAGGACTCTCCTTCGGTGGAGGTTTTTAAGCAGAGGTCAGATGGACACCTCCTCTAGCTGCGATTTCTGCATGGCAGGGGGTTGGGCTGGATGACCCAGGGGGGTCCCTTCTAACTACAATTCAATAATAATAATAATAATAATAATAATAATAATAATAATAATGTTTTATTATTTATACCCCACTCATCTGGCTGGGTTTCCCCAGCCACTCTGGGCAGCTCCCAACTGAATATTAAAAACACAATACAGCATTAAACATTAAAAACTTCCCCAAATAGGGATGCCTTCAGATGTCTTCTGAAAGTCAGGTAGCTGTTTATTTCCTTGACATCTGGTGGGAGGGCGTTCCACAGGGCAGGCGCCACCACCAAGAAGGCCCCCTGCCTGCTTCCCTGTAACCTCACTTCTTGCAGCGAGGGAACCGCCAGAAGGCCCTCGGCGCTGGACCTCAGTGTCTGGGCTGGACGATGGGGGTGGAGACGCTCCTTCAGGGATACTGGACTGAGGCCGTTTAGGGCTTTAAAGGTCAGCACCAATGCTATGAATCTAGGACGGGGTAGGCAACCAAAGGCCTTCTCAATCTGGCCTGTGGACGGTCCAGGAATCAGCATGTTTTTACATTAGTAGAATGTGTCCTTTTATTCAAAATGCATCTCTGGGTTATTTGTGGGGCATAAGAATTTGTTCATTATTTTTTTTCCAAAATATAGTCCAGCCCACCCAGTGGCGTAGCGTGGGGGGTGCAGGGGGGGCCGACCGCACCGGGCGCAACATCTGGGGGGGGCGCGCTCGCCGCCTCCGGAGTCGCCGAAGAGCCTCGGGCGCAGGCTGTAGCAGAGCCCCATGTCTCGCGGAACCGACGAGCTGGCAGAGGCTCTCAGCGCTCGCCGCGGTCCCCGCGCGTCAGGGCCGCGGAGGGCGCGCCAGGCAGCCCCTCCTCACAGCCCCGCCGTCGCCGCTGCTGCTGCTGGGCCATGTTGCATTTTCCTCGCCTCTCTGCCCTCCTCCTCCTCCGGGCAAGCGGCGTCGTTTGGGCGGCAGCGCCAGCGGCAACTCGCCTCAGATCACCTGACACGGACCCGCCGCCGCCGCCGTGGCTACCTTACCGTAAATACCCCAGCCCAGGCAGCAGCAAGAAGAAGCTGGCAGCGGCGGCAGGTTAGGGGTTAGGAGGCGCAAATTACTTGCCTTGCCCCAGGTCCTGACAACCCACGCTACGCCGCTGAGCCCACCACATGGTCTGAGGGACAATTGACCGGCGTACGGCTGAAAAAGGTTGCTGACCCCTGATCTAGGTCTTTACCTCTGCCACTGAACTGTAACCCCCCCTTCATACCTTCCTTCTTCCCAACATCCACCAGGGCTCCCAGCTGTTCCTGAGACCCATGGGCAGGTAGGATCCTGCTCAGATTGGCAAGGTCACTCTCGAGGATTGGGCCCAGCACCAAGGCCTGGATGGAGAAGGCTAGGAGCTGGTCCAGCTGACATCTTACACCTTGAGGGAGAAGAAGGGAGGAGAGGCAGGGTCACTGTTTAGACTCCACCCCACAGCTAACACCCCTCTTGCCCCAATTTTAATCGAGCATGATTAAGTGGGCACAAGATGTGGGTCACTATATTGGTTACGAATGATGGGGAAAGTTGTGGGAAATAAATATGAATTTCACGGCATGTCGTGCAATAAAATAAAACTCGATGAAAATGGCCCACAGAAGGTATTTAACACCCACCAGATTGGGACGCGGGTGGCGCTGTGGATTAAACCACAGAGCCTAGGACTTGCCGATGAGAAGGTCGGCGGTTCGAATCCCCGCGACGGAATGAGCTCCTGTTGCTCGGTCCCTGCTCCTGCCAACCTAGCAGTTTGAAAGCACACCAGTGCAAGTAGATAAATAGGTACCGCTCCGGTGGGAAGGTAAATGGCGTTTCCGTGTGCTGCTCTGGTTCGCCAGAAGCGGCTTAGTCCTGCTGGCCACATGACCCGGAAGCTGTCTGCGCACAAATGCCGGCTCCCTTGGCCAAGAAAGCGAGATAAGCGCCGCAACCCCAGAGTTGGCCACGACTGGACCTAATGGTCAGGGGTCCCTTTACCTTTTAGATTGGTGAAAATGTCTTTAAAAAAAGGAAAAGGTCTATTTTGGAAATGTAATGAAATTGAGGAATCCCTTTACCACATGTGGTGGTCCTGTAAAGTAATTAAGGAATATTGGGAAACCATATAGAATGAATTAAATTTTTTTTTAAAAAAACTTTCCCCAGAACACCTGAGGTTTTCCTCTTGGGTCCCAAAAAAGCAAAAGAGTTTATTACTATGCGCCACCTCCTCAGCTACAGCCTTATTGGCACAAAGGCGAAGAACAAGTCTAGTACCCACTAAGGAAGAATTGGCAGTGCGAAATGTTTGAATATGCAGAACTGGCTGGTCTGACGAACAGGGTAAGAGAAAACGAAGATAAGGAATATAAGGCGGAGTGGGCAATTGACTATTTTAAGAACCAATCTAGACAAATACATAGCTTAGCAGGTCTCCAGTAAATCCAGCAGAGCTGAAAGAGAGTATTTAAATGGTAACAAATTGGATGATTAAAAAGATGTGGATTACGCGGAGTAGCAGAAAAGAAAAGGAGCCAGGAATAGGGTGGAAGGGAAGTCATATGGTATTTGTATACATTCTGTATTTGGTACGAAGTTTTAAGTGGGACAGGGACAGGAGGTTAAATATGCTCTCCGTTCCTGTTTTTGAAAACGTAATTTTTTAAAAATAAAAACCACAACCCTCCTGACCTCCTTACCTTCCAGGTCCCCTTGCCCATCGCCGTCGGAATCCGGGAAGGAGGCCGCGGGCAGGTGGTAGAAGGAGGCTTTCTGCCACCAGACCAAGGGTGGCCGCGGCCTTGGCATCGTGACCAAGAGGAGGACGGCCAGGGCGAGCAGGCAGGCGAACAGCGCCCCCAGGAGGCAGAGCAGGGCCTTGCGGACGCCCGGCCAGGGGGCAGACCCCGCCTGCTGGACCACCTCCTCCTGGCTCAGGTAGGTGGGACTGGGCAGGGCGTGGCCAAGTAAGGGGATGCTCTCGCTGGGCACCTGGGAGGTGAGGACCACGTCTTCCGCTTTGCCCATCCTCTATTCCTTTGCCCGCAGAGCTGCAGGGGGTCAGAGACAGAGTTGGAAAGAGGGGAGCATTTTGCGGTGGGGATAACGCAAGTCAGCGCAGTATTTGGGGGTGTGTGGGTTTGATTCTGACCAGCGTGGATTTGATTTAAATCAAATCGATTTCAATCACGATTTCAGTCACTAGTCAGGAAGACTTGATTTAAATCACTAGTCAGTAAGACGTGATTTCAATCATTTTTTTACAGAAAGGCTCATTCTTGCTGGTACAGTCATACCTCGGGTTGCGATTGCTGCGGGTTGTGTGTTTTCGGGTTACGGACGCGCTGAACCCGGAAGTACCGGAATGGGTTATTTCTGGGTTTCGGCTCATGCGCAGAAACACAAAATCACACTTTGTGCATGCGCGGAAGCGCTGAATCATGGCACACGCGGCGCTGTGGGTTGTGAATGTGCCTCCTGCACGGATCAGGTTCGCAACCCGAGGTTCCACTGTATAATCTTAGTATTTGCAACCAGATGAAGGTTTCATTTTTGGAATCATAAATTTCCAGAGTAGTTTTTACAGTTATATCAAAAATAGCTGATTTGGTTATGCTATTAGAAATACAAAGACAGGAAATTATGAAATTATTGTTTATATTTGGACAACTTTTCTGCTGTGCTTTATTGGAAGGAGAAAAATAACCATTTCCTTAATAACAATTTAAACAATTTATTCAACTAAAACAATAGCATTATAGCATATGTATCTATGTTTGTTACCTGATGTGGTTAAACGATTTAAAAAAACAAAAAACAGACTGAGTTTTGGCACACGTGAAAAACTTAAAACAAATCCTTACTTCCTGATGAATAGCCTTTGGACTATAATGTAACCTAAAAAGAAAACTATATTTAGAAAGGTTTTTCCTCCGAAAGCATTTTATTTTAAAAATCTGATTTAAATAAAAAAACTAATTTAAATAAATAAATAAAAAATAAAACCATTGCTTTTGATCCACCCTGATTCTGAGATGAATCATGGGTTCACAAAATTCTCCTGCCCACAAGACAATGAATGGGGAGCTCGAGTGAAGTCTCAGCCAAAGAAGAATGGCAACGTAAAGTGATGGAATATGAGCAGCTTGCAGATCTAACTTACAGAATAAGAGAACAAGAAGAACGTTCATTTAAAGAAGATCGGAAGATGTATACTGACTATACAAGGGGAAATTGTGTACACTTGAAAACATTGGCAGCATTAAGTTAAAATCAACAGTGTAAATCAGTTCTGATGGAAGTAATAATGGAATACTGAATGGTTTAGTTTAGGCCTTTGGTCAGGGTTTTCAGTCTGATTCTTTTCTTTCTGTATAAGAACAAGCATTAAAGAGGCCTCCTAGCCCACTCACAGGTCCTTTATAAGACCAGAGGTAACAGCTGGCCCTGGAGAATATTAACCACTCTCAATTTTACCCATGGACTGCCATCTGTCCAGATTTTAATTTGCTCTGAACTAATTTTAAGATGTATTTTAATTAATTGATTGCCTGTTTTATGTTCTTATGTTCTTTGTATACTGTGTTACTTTTATGAAGTTAGCCGCCCTGAGCCCATCTCTGGCCGGGGAGGGCGGGGTACAAATAAAAATTTATTGTTATTATTATTATTATATAAAATATGCAGGGATTTATGCCTTGCAAAATGAACCATGAAAAGAGAAGAAGGGAAGTCATTGATATTTTAAGGTTGTCTAAATGAATACAGTCATACCTCGGGTTACAGACGCTTCAGGTTGCGTTTTTTTGGGTTACGGACCCGCCGAAACCCGGAAGTACCGGAACGGGTTACTTCCGAGTTTCGGCGGTCGCACATGTGGAAAAGCGCTAAATTGTGCTTTGTGCAGAAGCGCTGAATTGCAACCTGCACGTGCGCAGATATATATCTCATATACCGTATTTTTTGCACCATAACACTCACTTTTTTCCTCCTAGAAAGTAAGGGGAAATGTCTGTGCGTGTTATGGAGGGAATGCCTACGGGTGACGGGGGGGGTGGGATCTGCTGCAGTCGTGAGCAGAGGATCCATGGTTCCCCTTCCTTCCCTCCTCCGTGGCTCGCTTTGAAACAGCAAAGCGGGAGAAGAGCCGCTGAGTGGGGAGGAGAGAGGGACAGAGAGCCTGCTTCTTTAAAGGAGCAAGCGGGAGAGGAGAGGCGCCGCTTCCACCAGTGTACGCGGCTCCTGTCCGGTGGGTTCCTTTACAGTGAGCAGGCTCTCTGTCCCTCTCCTCCCCACTCAGCTAGCTAAATAGCAGCAGACTTTATCAGCTCGCTAAGCCGGGGATGAGCAGGGAGGAGGGAGAAAAGCAGAGCCTGCTTGCTTTAAAGGAGCAAAGCGGGAGAGGAGAGGAGCCTTCTCCCCTTATACCCCTCTTCTTCATTATTAGCAGCATCCTTCTCCACCCACCCCACGCATGCTCCTTGTCCCTTGAGTGCTTTTCCTTCCCTCCCCACTTAAAACGTGGTTACAAAGGATCCTCAGGATTTTTGCATTGGGCTACTCCAAACTCACTGTCAGATCACGTGTCTGTGGCCACAGCATGAACCACAAAAATCATACATCCACTGTTTCGTTCAGAATATTTTTTCTTGTTTTCCTCCTCTAAAAACTACGTGCGTGTTATAGAGCGAAAAATACGGTGTGTGTGTGTGTGTGTGTGTGTATATATATATATATATATATATATATATATATATGTGTGTATATATATATATATATATATATATGAGAGAATGAATGGGAGTTGCCGCACCCGAACTCTGAAGGCTCCCCGCATATCTCAGTAATAATGCCAGCCCTCCTGCCGCTGTAAAGGTGGGCGTTGCGAAAAGGCGTCTTGCAAAATGCTTCTTACGAAGGATGCGGGGACTATGTGGCAATCCTGCCCCGTCTCAGGGAAGAGGCGGAGGTAGCAGGAATTCAGCTTTAATGACCTTCGGGAAAATCAAGGCAGCATTCCAAAGTCACACATGCCTGTCTTTGCTCCCGCGTCTGCCTTTGTGAAGAAATCCACGAGAGGGGCCGTCTCCAAGGCCTCCCTCACCCTTGTTCCAGTTACGATACTCAGATCCCTTCCTTAGCAGGGATGCAGCTGATAAGAACGAGCAGCCCTGCTTCCTTCCAGGAAGGATCATAGAAGCACAGCAGGGACCTGGCGGTCATCTAGTCCAACCCCCGGAAATGCAGGGACCGCTGCTAAAGCATCCATGACAGATAGAAGAAGAAGAAGAAGAAGAAGAAGAAGAAGAAGAAGAATTCCACGGGTGGAGGGAAGACACAGGGCATTAAACAAGAAATGGATAAATGTTGGTACATAATGAAATATGAAAATGTGAATTTACAAATATAATGTATATGTATCATTATGTAAAGATTTCATATATGTAAAGGTAAAGGGACCCCTGACCGTTAGGTCCAGTTGTGGCCGACTCTGGGGTTGCGGCGCTCATCTCGCTTTATTGGCCGAGGGAGCCGGCGTACAGCTTCCGGGTCATGTGGCCAGCAGGACTAAGCCGCTTCTGGCGAACCAGAGCAGCGCACAGAAACACTGTTTACCTTCCCGCCGGAGTGGTACCTATTTATCTACTTGCACTTTGACATGCTTTTGAACTGCTAGGTTGGCAGGAGCAGGGACCGAGCAACGGGAGTTCACTCAGTCACGGGGATTCGAACCGCCGACCTTCTGATCGGCAAGCCCTAGGCTCTGCGGTTTAACCCACAGCGCCACCCGTGTCCCTTATATATGTATTGTAACATTAATAATGAATAAATGAAAAAAACAAATCCTTCTTTTTCTCTGACCTGAATCTTCCAACTCCTATCCAAAGCATTAAAAAAGAGTCAGTGACGGTAACAGTGATCATAGAATCATAGAATCATAGAGTTGGAAGAGACCACAAGGGCCATCGAGTCCAACCCCCTGCCAAGCAGGAAACACCATCAGAGCACTCCTGACATATGGTTGTCAGGCCTCTGCTGAAAGACCTCCAAAGAAGGAGACTCCACCACACTCCTTGGCAGCAAATTCCACTGTCGAACAGCTCTTACTGTCAGGAAGTTCTTCCTAATGTTTAGGTGGAATCTTCTTTCTTGTAGTTTGGATCCATTGCTCCGTGTCCGCTTCTCCGGAGCAGCAGAAAACAACCTTTCTTCCTCCTCTATGTGACATCCTTTTATATATTTGAACATGGCTATCATATCACCCCTTAACCTCCTCTTCTCCAGGCTAAACATGCCCAGCTCTCTTAGCCGTTCCTCATAAGGCATCGTTTCCAGGCCTTTGACCATTGATGATACTGCCACTTATTTGTGGGAGGTGCTTCGATGTCTGCATTCTTGGACTATGTTCTGAAAGCTGTGGCAAGCATTGCAGAGCCATTCCAGAAACAGCTGAGGCCTGGCTTTTGGCTGCTATGCAGAGAGACAACACCTCTTCTTCCATATCTGTGTTACAAGAAAAGATCTGCCACCGACCTGATACATTCCTCAGGGTTTTGCTGAGATGGAGCCATGATAACCTCTCCCCTCCCAATCCTACGCACTTTTACACAGAATAAGAGCACTTCCAAGGGATGCTGGTGGCGCTGTGGGTTAAACCACAGAGCCTAGGACTTGCCGATCAGAAGGTTGGCGGTTCGAATCCCCGCGATGGGGTGAGCTCCCGTTGCTCTGTCCCAGCTCCTGCCAACCTAGCAGTTCAAAAGCATGAAGTGCAAGTAGATAAATAGGTACCACTCCGGCGGGAAAGTAAACAGCGTTTCCGTGCGCTGCTCTGGTTCGCCAAAAGCGGCTTAGTCATGCTGGCCACATGACCCGGAAGCTGTACGCCGGCTCCCTTGGCCAATAAAGCGAGATGAGCACCGCAACCCCAGAGTCGGCCACGACTGGACCTAACGGTCAGGGGTCCCTTTACCTTTACCTTTAAGAGCACTTCCAGAAAGTCACTGTTTGGGGGCAGGATTCGGTCACAGACGTGCGAATTTGGTTGTACAATTCAAGCAAGAGTTCTGCTCCAACCATGCACCCAATTTCCAAAATTGGAGTGTTGTTGTTTTTTACAATAAGGATAATCTGGACTTGTGTACAATATGAAATCTAACATACTATAATCGATTACAACGTGGCACCTAACATACTGTTGGTATTCCTGAGCTGAGTTGGTATTGTACAGTGGGTTGTATAAAAATGCTGTACAGCAGGTCTTTCTGTAAAAAAAAGATTTAAATCAAGTTTTACTGACTAGTGATTTAAATCGTGATGAGTAGAATGTGTCCTTTTATTAAATCGTAGAATGTGTCCTTTTATTTAAAATGCATCTCTGGGTTATTTGTGGGGCATAGAAATTCATTCATTCCCCCCCAAAAAATATAGTCCGGCCCCCGCACATGGTCTGAGGAACAGTGGACCGGCCCACCGCTGGAAAATGTTGCTGACCCCAGTCTAGTGGGTTTTTGCTGAAAACAAAATGCCTAAATTCTAACACATCCTAGTAGGTACTTTTCTTACAATCTGTTCCTCATTTTGGAGCTCTCTGCTGAGCAATGCTGATGGCCAGTCTGAAAAATGCTTGTGTTGCAGTGGATACGGCAGGCTGTGGATGAAATTGCATTTACAGTGGACACTCGTGTTGCGAACATGATCCGTGCGGGATGCACGTTCGCAACCTGCAGCGTTCGCAACCCGCATCTGTGCACACACGGGTTGTGATTCAGTGTTTCTGCGCATGTGCAAAGCGCGATTTAGCACTTCTGCACATGTGCAACCGCTGAAATCCGGAAGTAACCCATTCCGGTACTTCCGGGTTTCGGTGGTCTGTAACCCAAAAAAACACGACCTGAAGCGGCTGTAACCCGGGGTATGACTGTATATCCCAACTTTTTCCTCCAAGGAATTAAAAGTGGCATTCCTGGTCTTCCCCCTCATTTAATCACCCCAACAGCCCTGTAGAGGTAGGTGAGGCAGAGAGGGAGAGGGAGCTTCATGGCTGATTGAGGATTTGAACCCAGGCCCTGGCTGTCTATGGAACAAGGTGTTTCATATACAGGGGAAATGTGGTCATTTCCAGTACAGTGATACCTCTGGTTACATACACTTCAGGTTACATATGCTTCAGGTTACAGACTACACTAACCCAGAAATAGTATCTCGGGTTAAGAACTTTGCTTCAGGATGAGAACAGAAATCAGGCTCCGGCGGCGCAGCGGCATCAGGAGGCCCCATTAGCTAAAGTGGTGCTTCAGGTTAAGAACAGTTTGAGGTTAAGAACGGACCTCCGGAACAAATTAAGTACTTAACCCGAGGTACCACTGTATCTGCATCCAGTAACAATGGAGACAAAATTAAAATCAGTTTGCATTAAAGATGGACCTGCCCAATTCACCCTTTCTGGAAAAAATCACGAACCAAAGCCAAACCAACCATCACAAGTCACCCTTCTCTGAATTTTTCAACGTAGCTTCTCAGCCAAGTCTCATGTACAAAATTACATATACCAGGACCTGAACTGTGTACGGAAATTCATTTGTCCATGCAAATAACACGCAGGAACGCATTGCATTAAGGGAAATCGCTTTGCAAAAATTGTGTTTATTAGGCATACAACTGCATACGAAAAGGTGTGTATCGGGAGAACTTTGCACGAAAATGCTGACGAACTGTCGGGAGGCCTTAAAGTAAAATCCTCGAACCGATTTGGAAACGTGCAGCGTGGAATTTAAGACTGGGAAAAGGAGAAACCAAAAATGGACAGATTAACATGTCCCTTGCATAATTTTTTTTCCAGGGAAAAAAGAGGGTGGCTTGAGAAAGAAGCCCCCAGAGACCGCCTGCCGTTCAGGATGCAGTTGCTAAACTGGGGATTTGCCGGGTGGCCTAATAATAATAATAATAATAATTTATTTGTACCTCACCCATCTGGCTGGGTCTCCCCAGCCACTCTGGGTGGCTTCCAACAAAGATTAAAAATACATTAAAATGTATACGGCATGCTGCCGTCCATCCCGCCGAACCCCCATTCTCTGTGCCTTCCCACATGCTGCAAAACGGGGGAATTATAAACAAGGCCTACCTTACAGGGTCGTTGTGACAGTTATACAGAGACCATCACATTTTGGGAAACACTGGACGCGTTGCCAAATATTGCAATGAAATGGTCCTGCAAAACAGGCGTCGCTCTTACCGTGTTGTGTTCTCTTCTTGCAAAGGAGGGCAGGGAGAATGAGAGTAACAAAAGAGAGTAACAG